TGGCAGAAGCCAGGTTGTGACAGGGCGAGAGCAGGACCCAGGGCAGCCAGACGGTCTCTACCCTGAGCTGCAGGACCCAGGTCCACAGACAGCATCGTCTTATCTCTGCTGACCCGCCCCGACAGACAGACAGGCAGCCCCCACATCCTCTTACCGCCCACAAATTGGCCCCTCGTGCCTCTCACTGCAGTCACCTGGCCCTCCCTCCTCCCGCCAGGGCCATCTGGGTCTGAGGGAGTGGATTTGGGGTGGAGAGCAGAGAAGACATGGGGTGGGGGAAACAGGAGAAACCCCTCGAATGCTGCCCTCACAAGCTGTGTGACCTTGGGCGGCTTCCTCAACCTTTCTGGGCCACTTTTCTTTAATCCTCTGTATGACGGATGAGGGGGCAGAACTCTATGCTGCTGACAGTAACAGTAGGACCCATTTACTGTGCCTTCCCCGGTGCCAGGCATCACGCTAAGTGTTTATTTACACTCACCCATTTAATCCTCAGAACTACCCAGCAAGGCAGGCGAGGCAGCAATGTTCTCCATTTTATAGCTAGAGAAACTAAGGCTCAGAGAGGCCAAGTCAGTTGCCCAAGGTCATACAGCAAGTGAATGGCACAGCTGGGGGCTGAATGTGGATCCAAGGGCTCCAGAGCCCAGGCCAACACGTGCCAAGGTGTGCCCAACAGGGCCCCTCTCTTCTCTCAGGCCCCAGAATCACCCCACCTTGTTTCTTACAACACCCTCCATGAGCCCTGCTGTAAACTTGGCCATGCTTCCAGTGGCAGCTGAGGCTCCTTCCTCCAGGGAGGCTTCCCTAGCCTCCTTTCCTCTCCCGACCTCTCAGACATTGCAGACTGGACCAGTCCTAAAGCTTGGTGACATCTTTTCCCTTCCCCACTGAACCTCCAGAGACCCAACACAGGGGACTCCAAGTCTAGCAGCCCCCACCTGCCTATGAGGACGGGGCTCTCCACCTTGGCCTGCCCAGGGCTTAGGGCTGAGGCAAGCCTGGGTCAGAGCTCCAGCATATATGTGTACAAACAGCTCACTCACCACACATTTATTATGCACTTGTTGTGTGCTGGGCTCTGGGAGGGGTGAGGGAGGTGCAGTGGGGCAGGAAGCCACAGCCATGGTGTGCAATCAAAGGGCATCAGCATGATCAGGGAGGAGGGGTTTCGAGACTGAAACAGGGCAGGCAGGTCACTCCATGCTGTGGCCAGGAGAGACTGCATCTGCGCTGCTGCGGTAAAGGCATTCCGTGTTGGGCAAAGAGGAAATATGCAGGGTGGACATTCAGGGCAAGGAGTGGGCCATGCGAGTGGGCAAGTGAGAGATTTGCAAAGGTGCCTGACCTGGGAAACATGGGCCTTTTCTCCTCTGCCCCACTGTGTCAGTTAGCAATTTATTACTGCCTCTGGGCTCCGAAAGCACTCCTCAGTGTATGTTCCATGATAAGCAATGGACTTGTTTAAGCATTTCTCCCTTAAAGTGAGCAGGACGTCAGCCTTCCTTCGGAGGGGGCAGTGAGGAGGAAGAGGCTTCCTGCAATTTCCAGTGTGGGTTGGGGTTGGCTGTGTGAGTGTGTGCAGCTGGAGCCTGTCACAGCCATGGGGCCAGAGCTCAACTGCTCTGCAAACTTGCAGACTCAGCCTGGGGCCAGCCCTTCCAAACAGAAATCAGAGCTACTCCGCATGTCCCTACCCATATGGCCCAACCCCCCTGAGGGCCTCTTGCCCATGCCGGTGCCCAGACTCCTCCGTAAGTAGCCCCACGTCACCTCTCTCCGGTCACCTGTAGCCCAGAGAGCCACACCCTGAGCTGCTCCATGTGCAAGCCACACCCCAGCGCTCCCTGCTTTCATCCTCCCACGCTGCTTGCACACTAGCTCCCAAGGTCTTAGTTGCCTATCGTTTGCCCAGCAACTCTAGGCCAGCTCACGCCGTCTCCAACCTGGCCACACCAGCTATCCAGTAGGCTGAGCAATGCCTTCCCCAATGAGGCCCAAAGCCCTTCCGAGTTTGTCTTTCCTTGGGTACTCTCCCTCAGCCTAGAGGACCCTATAGGGTTTCCTTATGTCTTGCAGTCACTCATCATAGTTAATAACTCTTCATATTAAACTTCTCCTGTTTGCGCTATGTGGTTTCTATCTTCTAACTAGACTCAGACTGCTGCACCCATCTGTCCCCCTCAGCAGCCAGAGCCCAGCAGGCACCTGATTAAATGACCAAACGGTGTCCCTTAGTAATAGGGCAACTCTCTTTGGACAGACCACCCGCTTTCTTCTGGGCAGGGAGCTTGATTCAGGCATTTTCATCCCCCCTTCTCCTAAAATAATATATATTATTGAAATAGGCACATCATGGGTACAAACAAAGCCTGGCTGGTTGAAAAAATGATTGAATAAGTGGGTAATGGGTGGATAGATGAATGGAGGGATGCATGGATGAACAAATTGATGGTTATATGCACTGATGCATAGTAGGTGGATAGATCGATGGATTGATAACGGATGACAAATGGATGGATGGTTACATGTATTGATTTGTGGGTGGATGAGTGGATGAACAAATGGATGGATGGCTATATGGACTGATGGATGGGTGGGTGGATTGATGGATGGATGGTTATATGGACTGATGAGTGAGTGGATGCGTAGATGGGTGGGTGGGTAGGTGGGTGGGTGGATGGATGGTTATATGGACTGATGAGTGAGTGGATGGGTAGATGGGTGGGTGGGTGGGTGGATGGATGGATGGATGGATGGTTATATGGACTGATGAGTGGATGGGTAGATGGGTGGGTGGGTGGGTGGGTGGATGGATGGTTATATGGACTGATGAGTGAGTGGATGGGTAGACGGGTGAGTGGGTGGGTGGATGGATGGATGGATGGATGGTTATATGGACTGATGAGTGAGTGGATGGGTAGATGGGTGGGTGGGTAGGTGGGTGGGTTGGATGGATGGTTATATGGACTGATGAGTGAGTGGATGGGTAGATGGGTGGGTGGGTAGGTGGGTGGGTGGATGGATGGTTATATGGACTGATGAGTGAGTGGATGGGTAGATGGGTGGGTGGGCGGGTGGATGGATGGATGGATGGATGGTTATATGGACTGATGAGTGAGTGGATGGGTAGATGGGTGGGTGGGTGGGTGGGTGGATGGATGGATGGATGGATGGTTATATGGACTGATGAGTGAGTGGATGGGTAGATGGGTGGGTGGGTAGGTGGGTGGGTGGATGGATGGTTATATGGACTGATGAGTGGATGGGTAGATGGGTGGGTGGGTGGGTGGATGGATGGGTGGATGAATGGTTATATGGACTGATGAGTGAGTAGATGGGTAGACGGGTGAGTGGGTAGGTGGGTGGGTGGATGGATGGTTATATGGACTGATGAGTGAGTAGATGGGTAGACGGGTGGGTGGGTGGGCGGAGGGTGGGTCACTGGACTGACATATTGAGCCCATGGTCTTTTCCTGGGTTATTAACTTCCTTTATGGACTATGGCTATGTTGTAAGCTTTTCGTCTCTCCCATATTCCAGACCATGCTGAGCGCCTGAGTCTCCCTCCCTCACTTCTAGAGCTGAGCCTATTTTAACTCTAAATAAACGTAGGATTAATGAATTAATTAACCAAATAACCAAATGAAATACAAGCCACATTGTCCTGAGCAGAATTGTAGGGGCAGATTTTCCAACCTGCCCCTTGCCACTGTCTCAGTGCCACCCGCAACCTGTGTCCAGTTCCTTCAGTCTCTCACACTGGAAACTTTAGGAATAAACCTGAATCCTCACAGGAAGAGTGGCTAGGATCACACTGTACCAAAAGTTTTGCTTACTGGTGGTAAAAATTCAGGCACCTTTTACTCCCCAAAGGAAATAAAAACAGAACATAAATCCCATATATGTAGGCCGGAAGGAATCCTATCTCTAAGAGATTAGCTTCTCAGGGGAAGAAAATCACATGGCTTTGACTTGCCGGCATTTACATCCCTCGGTGTTCCCTAGGTCATCCTCTCCTGTGTGATTCACTGGGTGTGAAGAGCTTTCAGAGGGACATGGGGTTAGACGTGTTCAGTGTGACCAGAAGGGCAGAGGCCTGGGAAGCAGGTGATACCTCTTTAGAACAAAAAACTTGCAGCTGGGTGCAGTGGCTCACACCTGTAATCCCAGCACTTTGACAGGCTGAGGCAGGTGGATCACAAAGTCAGCAGTTCAAGACCAGCCTGGCCAATATGGTGAAACCCTGTCTCTACTAAAAATACAAAAAAAATGAGCTTGGCATGGTGGCATGCACCTGTAATCCTAGCTACTCGGGAGGCTGAGGCAGGAGAATCACTTGAATTGCAGGAGGCGGAGATTGCGGTGAGCTGAGATCGCACCATTGCACTCCAGCCTGGGCGACAGAGCAAGATTCCATCTCAAAAACAACAACAACAACGAAAAGATAGAGAAGCTGCCTAGAAGGGCAATGAACTCCCCATCACCTGAAGTTTGTGACTCAGTGACAAGGTCCAGCTCTGGGAGCTGGAGAACAGGAGAGGGAACGAGACATCTTATGTCTGGACTATAGGAAGGTTGTGTTACCATCCAGCTCTGAGACTCTGTGCATTCCGGTCCTCAGTGGGCCTTAGCCCCCACATCCATGAAATGGAACTCCATTCTCTCTGCCTGCCTGATTCATGGGGCTCCTATAAGGTTCTAGTTACAAGATGGGGCAAGCTGCCAGGCAGAGGGCACGGTGCGCAAAGTGCCACCATGGTTCTCTAACTTCAGGCTCATCCATGCGGCTCTCCAGCGTCTTCTTTCAAAATAGGAGCTCCCCCAGGCAAAGAGGTGATAGAGTCAACAGATGTCAACAGAGATGTCATCAACAGAGATGTGGTTACATCGTCGTCTTCTCCCAGGCAGTGCTGGTGGCTCCAGGGACAGACAGAACCCGGAGACTGTATGTAGGGAACTGGCCTTAGGTATGCAAAGAGTCTGCCAGGCTTGGCTGGAAGTTGCAGCTCAAGAGAAGTTGTTTAATGCAAGAGGGGAGGTCTAAACAGCCTGGAGGAGCAGTTTGCTCCCCCTGGGGGTGGGGCAGGGGAAGGAGTAGGGAGGTGAGGGAAGAGGGAGAAGAGGAGGAGGAAGGGATAGGGCAGAAGTGAGGGAGGGAGACCCAGGCACTCAGGGACGACGAAACAGCCCAGCTGGGCAGTTCTGCTTGTTGGTGATGACTAAGCATGGTTTTGCCTCAGTTTCCCCAGTGGCTTGAGATAAGAAGTTCCCCTGAGCATCGAGTTGGCCCACTCTCAAGCCTCCCAGTGGTCCTGCCTCAGCTCTGGTAGAAGAGTTCACTGGATATCACCACGTAGCCCTGAAGGGCAAAGGAAACCATGGACCAGGTCAGAAGAGGCACAAGCATTGGCAGAACCGCCGCCCCTTCAGCCTGGCTCTGAGTTCTGCTCTGCCATTCTTGACACAGGTTGTGAGGAGAGTTCTTTGCCTCTCAGGGCATCGGTTTCCCAATCTGTCACCTGGGGTTAGTTACAGCATCCACCTCACAAGGCCGCTGTGAGGATGCAGGGAGACCCCCGAGAAAGGCACTGGTTGCTGCTCCAATGGCGGATACCACTGATGCTTTATGAATGGGAGCTCAGAACCATGGAGCATGTTTTCCAAGTCCAAGTCTCTCCTGCAGAGCCAGGCACCTCCCCCCGCACCTTGGCTCCACGACACGACACTACACTACACTACACTGCAGGAGCATTCTGGAGGGCTGCTGATCATTCATTCATTCACTCATTCACGCATGCATTCATTCATTCAATAAATCTTCATCAAGCCTCTACTACAAGCCAAGCTCTGTGGCAGGTGCTGGGGAGCCAGCAGAGAACAAGCCAGACCCAGTTCCTGCCCCGATGTAGTGCGTAGTCTAGGGCTATGTGGTCCAAGAAGGCAGCCACAATTAGCGACTATGGCTAATTAATTAGTCCTATGGCTAATTAAATTGAAATTCATTAAAATGAAATCAAATAAAAAATTCAGGTCTACAGTTGCACTGGCCACACTTCAGGGCTAAGGCCACGTGTACCTGTGGCTGGTCGTGGCTGCTGCTTTGGACAGTCCAAATTTTCATCCTTCCAGAAAGTTCCACTGGACATCGCTGACTAGGGACTTTTCACCTCTGACCCAGTGGCTGGGTCAAGGGCCAAGGTGCATCAGCCACCAACTGTGCCTGCTCTGGGGAGTCTTAGGGAAATTCTCACATAGCTCTGCTCCTCTGTGTACCAATTGTTCCTTCTCATGGGGGTGGATCCCCCAAGTGCCTTGAGACAGTAGTTATTAAGGGACATGGTTATCCTCACTGGAATTACATCAGCAGGTCACACTCATGAGGTATGAACAGCACGTGAGACATTGGGCTTGAGACACCTGGGCTCAGCTTTCTGTCTTATGTATGTCTTGCTAAGTGAATTTCCTTTTATATCCCAGGTGAAGAAGACAGCAGCTGTAAGATCTCACCCTGGGCAGTGAGGTGATTGAATCTCACCCTGGGCCCACAATTTCAGATCCAGGGAAAGCAATTTTAGAAAGTTCAGGAAGTTCCCTACTCCCACTCAGCCTGCACAGTTTGTCTACAAAGCAGAAGCCCCACTGTCACCTGCCCCAGATACCAAAGGGGTCGTGCCCATCCCAGGGCACAGAATCAAGGGGCAAATGAAGGCTCTAATTCCCTGACTGTGGCCTGGTGTGACATTTGATGAGGACTAAAGGCAGGGTGAAACCTTCCACCCAGCATCTCTTGGCATCCTGGACTTTTCATTTCATTGCAGTTAAGGATCACAGCATAGTCTTGGCAGCAGCAGCCGGGGCAGAGAGAGCGGTGACCCCTACCCTCACTCAGTCCCTCTGAGTGAAGGAGACCCCTCTGGTCACACCCAAAGGCTCTCACCTCATAGACAAAGATCTCAGGGGTGACGTAGTGGAGGTTGACCACGCCGGGGAGGGCAATCCCCATGCCCAAGAGAGCTACAGGTGGGAAAGAAGAAATGATCATCACCTGAAGCCAGCCTGTGCCACAGCCCTCATGCACATCATGGCACTGAGTCCTCGCAGGCACCTGGGAGACAGATGCCATTGTTGTTGTTGTTGTTATTATTGTTTTGAGCAGAGTCGCTCTGTCACCCAGGCTGGAGTGCAGTGGTGTGATCTTGGCTCACTGCAACTTCTGCCTGGTTCAACTGATTCTCCTGCCTCAGGCTCCAAAGTAGCTGAGATTACAGTCATGCGCCACCATGCCTGGCTAATTTTTGTATTTTTAGTAGAGATAGGGTTTCACCATATTGGTCAGGCTGGCCTTGAACTCTTGACCTCGTGATCTACCCACCTTGGCCTCCCAAAGTGCTGGGACTACAGGTGTGAAGCACTGCACCTGGCCGAAAGATGTCATTATTATTATACCCATTTTATAGAAGGGGAAGCTAGGGCTCAGAGAGAAAAAGGCACTTGGTGAAGATCACACAGCTGCTACACAGATGTATGCCAAGTGGCACACACCCATGGGCTTCTGGCTCCAGGGGCTTCCTCTCAACTCTCAGCCTGGGAGGTAGGAAGGGAGCTTGGATTGAGCACTGAGCAGATGTAGGGTATGGAGGGGGCCAGAGGGGCCCTGTTGGAGCACTGAGCAGATGTAGGGTATGGAGGGGGCCAGAGGGGCCCTGTTGGGGTGGCGGGCAGAGCTTACCATTGAGATGGTCCAGCAGGGGCTTCTCAAACACGATGCCCACCAGTGCCCGCACCTGATCTGTCTGCAGCCACGGTGCCAGGGAGATGGGCCCGTCCCAGCCGAGGGGCCGTGAGGGATGGACAGTAAGACACATACATAAACACACACAGAGACAGACAGACAACGGATAGATGGCAGAGGGTGAGGTAGAGGGAGCAGGCCAGGTCACCCATATCCTGGGTTCAAGTGGGGCCCAGCGACACCCCCAGGGCTGGCTTAGCCTTCGCAGAATCACAGCCAGCAGCAGTGCTCACCGGAGGGGAGGCTGAGGGACAAGCACTGACTTGTGGACACTCACGCACTGTGTGATCAACAGGTGGACTGGCCAGTAGACTGCCTGACACAGATGACCGACAGACAGACTGGCAGCTGGGTAGAAGGAGGCATGTTGACAGCATGCCAGCTGACAAGTAGATGTATGGTGGCTTATGACCCAATCATGTCACCTGGCTAAAGGGACAGCTCACATTCTTTGTCCAACTGATCAATGGACTCTTGGGCTGAGGGCTGGGTAACAAGTCATTGATTGCCAGGCAGAGTATCAGGCAGATGGAGTGACTGGCCACTGTCCCGAAGCAGCCCGGGGAAGCCTGACTTTAGCGGCTATAGAGAGACACGTAGGCACACAGCTCCACACACATACACAGACACACCTTCCCCAGCCTCAACGTGTGCCTCCCCCGGGGGGGTTCTCTAGAGGCCCCAGCCCCACACTCACATCAATGAAGCCCATGTTGGAGGAGGCCACCGTGAGTTGGACATCCCTGAAAGAGAAGCAGGAGAATTCAGGACAGGGTCTGACCCAGGGACCAGCAGTGGTGGTGGACCCATTGCACAGAAGAACACACTAAGGCTGCTGGGTCCAGGTGGCCTCGCTTACCCCAGCACAGATGTGGTCCCCTGAAACTTCACCTTGGATACAGAGAGCTGGAGGCTCAAGTTCACTACCTGGGCACATGGGGACAGCAGGGTCAGAGGGCACAGAGCCACAAGGGGACCACCGGCTACCCAGCCTCCCTTACATCCCCCCACTCATTCCAGCAGCAGGTGTCTGTGGAGCCCCTGCTATGCCCCAGGCCCCATGCTGAGCACTGGAACAACACAATGTGAACAAGGCACACCAGGCCCCTGCCCTGGGAACGAGCCACCAGCAGAGGGAAAGGGGAACCATGACCACAGTAACAGATGTCATCCTTTCAGAGAGTGTCAGGGGCCAAAAAGGCAGAGAGGAGGTGCAGAGAAGGCTGACGGGGACCCTGTCACTGAGGGCAGGCCAGGGAGGCTGCAACATTTAAGCTGAGACCTGGACGAGGAGGGGGAGCTGGCCATGCCAAGAACCAGGGTGGCCGAGTCCTAGGCAGAGGGCTCAGCACATGCAAAGGTCCTGGGGCGAGAGTGTCCTGACATGTTCAAGGAACAGCAAAGACACTAATGTGAGTAGAGCAAAGATGCAGGGACAGTGCAGCCGGGAGGGAGGTCTCTGTGACAGCTGCCCACCTTCTGGCCAGCCCCACCGGGCCCACTGCACTCACCACATCCAGGGAGAAGAGAGACTGGAAGGCCGAGTTGGAGGCTGCAGCCAGGACCTCCACGAAGGGCTGCAGCCGCAGGGTGGCATTGTTGGTGTGGAGCGTGGCCACAGGTGTGGCACCCAGCCGCACCTTGAGCACCACGGGCATGGGCTCGGGGAACTGGCGGGCCACCTGGGGAGGCAGAGGCGGAGGAGGCCCTGCTGGGGCAGCAGCTGGTAGGCTCTTTGGCCAGTCACTCCTCAAATGCTGATCAGGCCACCAAGGTACTATATGTGACTGGGGACCTCCAGCCCCCCCACCCCAGGCCGCTGGACCAGACGAGGGGGCTGGGTCTCCCTGAGGCAGCGACCCTGAGCTTGGTCTTGAAGGATAAGGGAAAGGAAAGAGAAAGTCATTCCAGGCAGCAGACACTGCTCAGGCGAAGGCACCGAGAGACAGCGAGTGTGACGTCTGGGCCGAAGTTGGCGCCTCCCCAAGATGGAAGAGGAGTAGGTTTAAGGACAGATGCTGAAGTTCACTTGGGACAGATAAGAGCCAGCAGAGCCCACGGCACAGAGAACCCCCACCTCAGCCCCCTGTCTCAGTCCCTGGAACGATCAGAAGTATCACCGACCTCTGGGATGAGCCGGCCCAGCACAGAGGTGTTCAGCGGGTTGTCATCCGACCTCTGAAATCAGCCCCCCAGCCCACAACAGCTTTTAGAAAGGGCAGCTGCTCCCTAGATAGATCACCACTTCTCCCCTTGAGGAATCACTCCCAATAGACCCCGTTTAACCCTTCCAACAGCCACCCTGTGGCTCTAGCTCCAGCAGTACCACCACCCACCATTTGGCCTCTTGTTGGGTGTCTCCCTAGGCTGGGCCACAGGGACCTCTTGCCCCTCGGGCCTCACCAGCTGCCCTGTGATGTCCAGGTTGAGGGCCCCAGACTTCTGCAGCAGCAGGAGCGCAGAGTCCAACAGATGCTGGGAGAGGCCCACGGTGGCCATGGCGCCCTCGGTGCCCACGTGCCTTGGCAACACAAAAGGGGTGGCATCTGTGGGCAGGATGATGGGCTTGCCCAGCAGGAAGAGAACAGCCTGTAGGAGTGGGAGCGGGGAGAGGGAGAAAAGTGGCAGGGCCTCAGCAGGGAGGTGGCTCCATGGCAGAACCTGGGCTCCTAAATGCCACTCCCCACACCCCAGCCCCGCAAGATGCTTCATGTCTGGCTCACACCTTCATCCGTGTGCCATGCTCCCGGCTGGGGTGCTGTTCCAGCTCCTCCTCTCCTTTCCTACTCCCCCGCTCCTTTAGGAACCTTGTGGGGCACCAAGTACTCCAGGGGCAGCAGCCCCCGCTCCCCGCCAGCTCTGGGAGGGCCAGAGGCACTTACATTGACATCCAGGGAAATGAAGTCACTGGTGACAGTGGGCACGCTGACCATGGAGTAGTGTATCTGCGACTCAGGACCCACGGGGTTGAGGCCTTCATGAGATCAGGATGGAGAAGAAAATGTGGCATATTTAGCACAGCTCACCAACGTTTCATCTATCCAGAAAAGTGGATTGTCTGATTACCCTGATTCACCAAAGCAGGCCACAAAACAAAAGAGGCAGGGCAAGCCTCCGAGCAAGCAAAGGTAAGTGGCAAAGTGGACACAGCCAGGATTGAGATACAGCCTGCTGACTTCTAGTTTAGACACAATTCTAACAGGTATGGTTTCTGCATTGCCCTTTGCTGGGAGACTAGTGACCCCAAGCTAGAAGGAAAGAGAAGGGCCCAGTCCAGGCACAAATATTCCCTGACGAAGGTGAGAAGGAACCCCAGAAAAAGAAGAGACTCTCACTTATCAAGATCTAGACATTTGAATTCCAGCATCTCATTCAATCCTCCTTGCGATCCTGTAGGGTTATTTTGCACACACGCACACACAGTCTGGTGAGGTTGTCTTGTTCAGGAATGCAGTACCTGGTCAGCCAGACCCCAAAGCTATGCTCCCTGCACCTCATCACACTGCCTCCTATAGGAACTCCAGTGGCACACCCCACTGGGGACAGTTAGTACAAGATCACAGAAGTCCAGCTTACCTACAGATCTTCCTAGCAGCCTTCAGGGAGGCACAGCTCAGAGCTCAACTCCTCTGAGCCTCAGAATACTCTTGCTGGGAAGTTTCAAGGACGAGTCCAGGAGTGGAGGCTCATGTCTGTAATCCCAGCACTTTGGGAGGCCGAGGCAGGTGAATCACAAGGTCAGGAGTTCAAGACCAGCCTGGCCAATATGGTGAAACCCTGTCTCTACTAAAAATACAAATAAAATTAGCTGGGTGTGGTGGCGCACACCTGTTACTCGGTAGGCTGAGGTAGAAGTATCACTTGAACCAGGAGCAGAGGTTGCAGTGAGCGAAGATCACGCCACTGCACTCCAACCTGGGCAACAGAGCGAGAAACCACCTCAAAAAAAAAAAAAAAAAAAGAATAGCCAGGTGTGGCGGCTCATGTCTGTAATGCTAGCACTTTGGGAGGCTGAGGTGGGTGGATCACCTGAGGTCAGGAGTTTGAGACCAGCCTGGACAACATGATGAAACCCCTTCTCTACTAAAAATGTAAAAATTAGCCAGGCATGGTGGCGCGCACCTGTAATCCCAGCTACTCAGGAGGCTGAGGCAGAAGAACCTCTTGAACCCAGGAGGCAGAGGTTGAAGTGAGCCGAGATCATACCACTGCACTCCAGCCTGGGTAACAGAGCAAGACTCCATCTCAAAAAAAAAAAAAAAGAAAGAAAGAAAAGAAAACATGAAAAAGGTGGAAAAAATATAGCCCAGAATCTCAATTTTCTTTTTCAATATTTTCTTGCACAGAGATAAACATTTTTTCTTTCTTTCTCTCTCTAAGTCTGGAGTGGAGCCACAAAGCACTGTGTCCTCTCTTTCTCTTTTGATTTTGTTATTATTTAGAGACAGAGTCGGGCACTGTCACCCAGGCTGGAGTGCAGTGGCGCACAATTATGGCTCACTGCAAGTCTTGAACTCCCGGACTCAAGTGATTCTCCCACCTCAGCTTCCTGAGTAGCTACAGTTACAGGCGCATGCCACCATGCCTGGCTAATTTTTAAGGTTTTGTTTTGTAGAGCTAGAGGTCTTGCTATGTTGCCGGAAGAAGTGGAATATACGGGCCGGAGCCTCAGGGTTAGACCCCACAACCCTGAATATGGTGGGGGCAGGGGAAGGATGCCAGTCCAACCCAGAAGACACAAGGTGGAGAGCTGAGGTGTGGGAGGAAACCTAGGGGAACATGGGGCCCTGAAACCTCCAGGCAGGAGAGGAAGGAACCACAAACTGAGATCATCTCCTGACACACACACAGACTCACACACACACAGAGACACACACACATACACATACACACACACAGACTCTCACACTGACTCACACACACACACATATACACACACACAGAGACACACACATACACGCACAGACACACAGATACACACACAGACTCTCACACTGACTCACACACACACAGACTCACACATGCCTATGTACACAAACACAGACACATGCACACAGACACATGCACATAGATGCACATACAGACACACACAAGACACACACAGATATACACAAACACACACACAGATATACATAGACACAGAGACACACACACAGAAACACACACACACACACACACACACACACACACACCCCATTCATGGCAAGAACCCAGAAGTGCCCAGCCCTCAGGGATGGAGTCTTTCCCCCAGACACATCCTGCAGGAAGAGATGTCAGCAGCGCCCGGTGTGCATGGCTGGCCTGCAGTTGACACCCTAGGTCTCCTCATCCTGCCCTCTTGCTCACCTCCCTCAATCCTACAGACAGTGCACAGCCCTGAGCCTGATGCCCGGAGAGTCTGAGGCTGCAAGAAGGGACAAGATAGCATCCCCTTGGGTCGCCATCCACCCTCCTGGAGCTGCTTCGAGAACCCTATCTGTCTTCTTTTTTCCATCCAACCCAAGAACCAAAGTCCAGCGCTTTATTCAATAAATGCTGCTTGTGCCCTGGGCACAGGACTGTACTCAGCAACTTATGTGAATTGTCACATTTAATTCTCACAGCCGCCCTAAGAGGGAGGGTCTATGATTGTCCTCATTTTACAGAGGAGGAAACTGAGGCCCAGCAAGGCTGAGGGACACAACCTGGGCTGCACAGCTGGGAACCCAGGCTGGCAGGCTCCACATCACGGTTCTTCGACTTGGCACAGCGGATCCTCCTGTACTGATTTCGTGTTCTTCTTTCAATCAAGTTTCTTTTCAAAAACTTAACTGCAAACCAGAACCTTCTATCGCTATCAAGAATCAGAACCCACCACGAATATTTATGAAATTCCCAGTCCAGGCCAGGTACGGTGGCTCACACCTGTAATCCCAGCACTTTGGGAGACCCAGGCAGGTGGATCACCTGAGGCCAGGAGTTCAAGACCAGCTTGGCCAACATGTCGAAAACCCGTCTCTACTAAAAATATAAAATATTAGCAGGGCAGACACCTGTTGTCTCAGCTACTCAGGAGGCTGAGGCAGGAGAATCACTTGAACCCAGGAGGCAGAGGCCGCAGTGAGCTGAGACTGTGCCATTGCACTCCCGCCTGGGGGAGCAAGACTCTGTCTAAAAAAAAAAAAAAAATCCCAGTCCAAGGCGGCGGTCATGTATCTTTTCTAATGCAGCCTCGAAATGCACAACCATTAGATTAAAGAAGGTGCATACTTGTAGCCACCAAACATTCCACATGAAGCCCTGGTCCCTGAGCAAGTGACAGACCACCTCTAATGACTTCCATGCCCGTCCCTGCCCCTGCCTCTCTGGGATGGCACAAAGAGACTTCCAGGGGTTCCATGAACACAACGGCAAGGTCCCTTCCAACTGTGAGAATCTGCTTTCTAGAATCCCATGATTCTGAAAATGTAAATGGTTTTACATTCAAAGTGTCAATGGTCCTTGGATTCTCCCATGTTAAGACTCATGATCTGAAAATTGTATTTTGTTTTTCAGATCTTTTGATCTAAGATACGCAGATTCTAGAATAAAAGACTTGGTTCTAGAATTTGGAGATTCCCAGATTCCAAATTCCGCAGTTTGGAAGTAATGACACTGTTTTGGGAGCCCACAATTCAGTTACCCTACAACTGACCCTCCTAGAGATTGACTGTGATCCAGAGTGTAGGGTCTTAGGGGCTCCAGAGGATGCCAGAGGCCCCGGCCTCCTCCCTTGGCTCCCAGATCTTACCAATTAAAGTGCCCAGGTGGACATTGAGGTCCTGCACCAGGTTGGAGACGCTCAGGCACAGCTATGGCAAGACAGAGAGGAGGCTGCGGTTAGGACAGCCCTCAGGCTGAGGGGGCAGGGCTGGGGGCAGTCTAGGGGCCTCCCAACTCATATACCACACCTGGAACCCCTTCCTCCACCAGCCAGTGGGCATCTCCTGGGACCCGTTCCAGGCACTGAAGAAACAGGAGAAGAGCTCAAAGGCGGGTGGCAGTGTGAGCATGGGTCCCCAGCCACTGAAGAAAGAACAGGGGCTGTGGAGCCTGGCAGAGGTGGTCACAGCTGGGCCTGAGCAACTGAGGGCAGGGAGTCTGCCGCAGCAGGGCTCCGAGGACCAGCTGGTGAGAGGGTGGTACCCATGCGGGGACAGGCAGTGATCAGCAAGCCAGACCAGGCTGAACTTCAGATGCCAGGCCAGGAAGCTGCAGAGATTCACCCAGGCACCATGGGCAGCCAGAGAAGGGTATTATGCTGGGATCAGTATGATAGAAGATGGGGGCAGAGGAAGACCACAAGGCCAGGGGCACTCACTGCCTTAACCAGGCAAGAGCTGGCAAGACTGGGCTGGGCAAGGTCACGAGGAAGAGGAGAGGGCGGGTCTTCTCTCCTGCAGTGTTGCCTGCAGCCCCTTGCCCAGAAGAGGCTGGCTATGAGGGCAGCAGGGGCACGATGGGGAGAAGAGGCTGGACCAACGGGCAAGGTCATGCCGTCCACTTGGGTATCCCACAGGAATCTCAAGAGGAGCTGCACCGCCTTCGCCTCTCAAGCCTCAGTTTTCTCATCTGTAAGATGGAAAGCTGCAGTCCCCCTCTGGGGGGTGTGAGTGGCATGTAGCAGGTGGATTTGGTCCCCACTGCTGCCCCTAATGCAGTACTGGGTTAGGATGGGATAGAACAGGGGGGAATGAGTTCCCCTGGGCAGTGGGACCCTGGCCCCCAGCTACCCTCTCTCACCAAGTCAGCTCCATGCAGACAAGGACAAGAGCTAAAATAGCAATAATAGGCCAGGTGTGGTGGCTCATGCCTGTAATCCCAGCACTTTGGGAGGCCGAGGCAGGTGGATAGCGAGGTCAGGAGTTCAAGACCAGCCTGGACGGGGTGAAACCCCATCCCTACTAAAAATGCAAAAATTAGCCGGGCCTGGTGGCACACACGTGTAATTCCAGCTACTAGGGAGGCTGAGGCAGGAGAATCACTTGAAACCAGGAGGTGGAGGTTGCAGTGAGCTGAGATCACACCACTGCACTCTAGCCTGGGTGACAGAGCAAGACTCTTTCTCCAAAAAAAAAAAAAAAACAATAATAATAGCAGTACCTAATACTCTGCCAACCACTGTTCCCAACTCTTCTGAAATGTTAATGCATTTCATGCCTGTAACTGCCTCACAGAGGAGGAGCTTTGTTTCTTTCAGCCCAGAAGTGGAACCAGGAGCGTAGACAAGGCAGAGCTGGAAAGGATCAGCACTCATCAGGCCACCTCTGGCCCCATGCTCACACCCTCATCTACTCACATTTTGTCTTCTTTTCACAAACCACAGGCCCATGAACCCCACTCCACCCTCTAGCATGAAATTGGGCTGCCCCAAGAGAATGAACCTCCCTCCCCTCCAACCCCATAAACTCTGCCCTCATTTGGGTCTCCCCATCTCTCCCCTGGTCCCTGGCGCCAGCCTCTTTCCTGCCTTCATGGGGACCAGGAAGAAGCTTCCATTTAAAAAAAAAAATTCCAAGCAAAGTCCCCTCTGCCTGAAATCTCACCCTTCACCATCCCTACTTGGTGAAGCCACGCCCTCCTTTCTGAGAAATCTGCAAGCCCTTTACCTTGTTACTCAAGACAGCTTTGATGTGCTTCTGCACCAGGACCAGCAGCGCGTGGGAAGTGCTGAGAGAGAAAGAGAAAGAGTTCCTGGGCTCCCAAACACATTAGGTCCCGTCACTCAGCACAGTCACGCATCAACTCCATTCGATGCCCTGTCACCTGCCAGGCACAGTAGTGGCATAATTGGCCCCAGTGATGAGGAAACCGAGTCTCAAAGGAGAGGGTCATTTATCTCAGGTTTGGAAGTGGCCAAGAATGTGATGAGTGAGACAGAGAGGACATTGCAAAAGTCAGACTTGGCCATGACCTTGGCCAGCTGGTTCTGTGGCCACTCTAACCCCAGTGAGGGTGGGTTAGGGGGTAAAGCTGGGATCCTGGGTCTGCTTCCTGCTTTGGGTCCAATTTTCTGTGACATACCTAATAAAGTCCCTTCCTGGCTCTGGGCCTCAGTTTCCCCTCTAAACAACTCAACAGTGCTCCATAGGCACCTATGGTTTCTTGATCTGCAAAATGTCAATCCAAGCCACAGCTCAGCCTCACTGAACCCGCTCTCTGGGGAGGTGAGAGGGTGGCATCTGTGTTTTCAAAGCCTCTGGGCTTCCATTTTCCCTTCAATAACCTGTGAGCCTCCCCCACCTGTGAGGACAGTGAGGGGTCATGAGTCACACATGATGATCACGGGACATAAGTGTGAATGGGTGTGGGCACCCACATGCCTCTTTGGGGGAAAAGCTCAGTCTTGACGCAAACATTGCATTCTTCTAAGCCTCCAGGATGCTCAACACCTCAGCGAGCCCCGCTCACTGTGGGAAGGTGTAGACATCATCTGGGGGATTTGCAAGCCATGGGACTAGTTGGGCTGCCTGGGCTTGAATCTGGCTATACCATTGGTCAGCTGGTGGCCTTAGGCAAGTCACTTAACAACTCTGGGCCTCTGTTTGCCCTCCTGTAAAATTCAGGAAATATTTAACACCTACCTGGTAGGATACCGAAAGGATCAAATGAAATGACCCACAGAAAGGGCCTGGAACAGTGCTCAGCACACAGTAGGTGCTCTGGAGGCAGGAGCTGTCCCCAGCCTTTATGCAGAAGGGAGCAGCCACTTGCGAGAGCTTGAGGGTCCTGACCCCTCCCTGGCTTCCTTCTCCTCATCTCTGCTGGGAGGGGTGGGTCTCCCAGGTCCTAACAGCCAGTCTGATCCACCCAAAATCCCTCTGCAAAGAGTGTGCTCACAGCTAGTGTGTATTGTCAAGTGCTGGGGGGGATGGGAAGGCTCTGGCTGCTCACTTGCTGTGTGACCCAGGCATGCCTCTCCCCATCTCTAAGCCTCAGCATCCTCCATCATAAAAAAGGCATAATAATTGGGGCCCTCTGAGGCCCCTGTGGCCATTGCACCCTGAGTGCGCAGCTCAGGAAACAGCAGCACAGCTTTGGCATCTGGGATGCCTGTGACCCTGCCAGACACCCACCTGTTACTGCCATCAGACTCGCTGGCACGGCCTAAGAATGAGGAGCAGGTAGAGATGCTGACCATGGGGGTCTTGATGGAGCTCTGGGTCACCCGGGTATCAGCCAGCAGTTCCGCAGGCAGCGTCAGCTCCAGGGGCTCTGGGGCGCTGCAGGGAGGCCAGGCCTGAGCTCCAGCAGCACCGCCCAGCAGAGCCCACCATGACTGACAAGAGATCTTGCAAATCCCCCAACCCCTGCCTGCCCACCACTTGGCCTAGGCCGTCCTCCCTCTCAGGGTGAAATAGCCCTACCTGGGGTAGGCCCGTAGCCCCTGGCCCCAAGACCCACTGCAACAGTGGGTGTGAGCACTGGCTGTCCGGACCCTCTCACTGTGAGACCCTGGGCCAGCCCCTTGCTGTGCTGAGCCTCAGTTTCCTCTTCTGTAAAATGGACATGAGCTTGGTGGTACCTATTTCACAGGGCTGTGCTGAGTTTTCTGTGAGATAATCATGTGAAAACATCCAGCGCAGAGCCTCGCCCACAGGAAACACTCATGCAATCAGTCAGGATAAAGGAGCTAGATAAGAGACGCCTCTGACTGCACAGCTCATGGTGGGAAAATACATGCAGTGGCAGACAAGGTCCCAGGTGCACAAAAGTCACTCTGATCGTGATGCTTGTTAAGCATCTCCCCCATGCCTTGCCCTGGGAAAGGGAGGACAGTAATTATCCTCACAGCAATGAACCCGTTCACCGAACCCCTCATCACCACCCTACGGAAGTTCATCCCATTGTACAGACGAGGAAACTGAGGGGCAAACAAGTGAAGTGACTCTGCCCAGTTGCAGAGCTGCTGAGCAGGGTTCTCAGACATTTTCTCACCATCTTGCTCCCCTCCAAGGGTGGGAGAGAGAGCACTGGATAGGGAGTCAAGAGGCCTGGATGAGGGTCCTGGGGGAGTTGCTATCCCTGTCCTCTCACTGTGTCCCTCGGAGCATCCCTGAAACCCTTCTCACCCCCTAACAAGGAGATCCACTCACCGAAAGACCTTGAAAGTAAAATTAGCTGCTGCCTGCAGGCGTACTCCAAAACCAGCAATGAATTTCAGCTGGAGGCGGGGTACGTGGACGTTCAGAATCCGGATCCTGCAGGGTAGTAATCAAGGTGAAGTGTGGTTCCCATTAAACCATGGGGTAAACTCTGGGGTGGGTGCTCTGAGCCATACCCACACGGTGTTATAAAGAAGGGCTTTCTGACAATTAGAACCACGAGGTGAGGGGGAGGTGGTGAGTTCTCCATCACCAGGGAGCATGCAAACCAAGGTTGGCTACAGCTGGTCGGGAGAATATGCAGAGGGAGCCCGCACGGGGCAGGTCTTGGGTTAGATGATTGCTTGGGTTTTTCACAGTTTCTGACACCTGCCTGGAAAGTTGTGAAGGGTGGAAGAGAGAACCTTCAGGAACCACAGAAGGCAGAAAAACCCTGTCTGGTATCCTAGTCAATGACTGCAGCAAGAGAAACTCCCCACTTCAAAGCTGCACTCTCCAGCTAACCTGTGATTTCTTTTACTTCCTAAGTGAAAGTCGTTTCTCCACTGTACAGTTCAGGTCCCCTGGCCAGATGGTTGTTGTACCACCCACCGTTTGTTCCAGGGTCTTACAGTTTTAAATGATTTTTGTTTGTTTGGTTTGGTTTTGAGACAGTTTCACTCTTGTCGCCCAGGCTGGAGTGCAATGGCATGATCTCGGCTTACTGCAACCTCTGTCTCTGGGGTTCAAGAGATCCTCCACCTCAGTCTCCTGAGTAGCTGGGATTACAGGCACCTGCCACCACGCCCAGCTACTTTTTGTATTTTTAGTAGAGATGGAGTTTCACCATGTTGGCCAGGCTGGTCTCCATCTCCTGACCTCGAGTGATCCACTCCCTCGGCCTCCCAAAGCGGTGGGATTGCAGACGTGAGCCGCCACACCCAGCCTTTAAATGTTTTTTAATTAGCTACTACCACTCCAGATTCGATGGAGTCTAGATGTATATCTTCTCTTGGAAGCCCAAAGATCTGACAGTAGTGAGCCTGAGTTCCTACGTGGAAGGTGACTGTTGACCAGCCCAGGGATTGGGGGCTAAGTTTTGGAGGCTCCACCTCCCTGTGCCGTTAGTCTCTGCATTAAGCAGGGTGGGGTGGAGGTAAAGGAGGCTCAGATTCATGTCTAAATGCAATGTCCAGTTTCTGGAAGAAGAAACAGAGGGTCCTGCCAGCCTGGGGACTCAGGAGCCAGTCTTACACCCCTGAGGGCAGAAATTCACTAATTCAGAGGCACCAGGCCCCTGCATCTCCACCTTGATTAGCTCTTTTAAATCATCTTGTGGGCACTCACCTGTGTTTAGTGAAGAGCGCTCCTCTGGTGGACTGGAACACTTTGTCCCGTGGACAGGACCGTCTGCCCAGCAGGCAGGAGCACACGTCTACACAGTGGATTGAAACACCCACCTGGCAAGCAGGAACACTCCACCTGGTGGCAGGAACACCTTCTCTGGAGGAGGGGAACACTCACCTGGTGGGCTGAAGCACCTCTCCACTCCGGTCCAGGAAATGAGGGACAGTGACCTTGAGGGCCCGCTGGAGAGGGGCTTTCCCGATTTCAGACACTGTGGGGCCAGGGTGGAGTGAAGTCAGGTTGCCCTCGGGAGCCACCAAGTAGCACAAACACACACTGCCTGCCATCTGCCCTGCCCCTTGCACAGAGAGAGCTCAGACTGGAAGGGACAGGCTTGCTCCAAGCACGTAGGGAGGGCAGCTGACTCCCCATGAGCCCACCTTGGGTGCGCCACTCGCACCAGGCCCTCTCCACCTGAGCATGGCCTCTCCCTGACCTGCCTCTCAACATCCTGCTGGTTTACCCCATTCCTCAAAAGCAACAAAATCCTTTGCCCTCCTGCAAGGTTCCAACCAGATCCCACCTCCTCTGGGAGCCTTCCCCAAGTTCCCAAGCAGAAGGAGCATCTCCCAATTAAGCCTGGCCTGCTGTGGAGGTGTCCCATGCGAGCAGAGGGGATGACACTTGGGAGGGGAGGGAACAGCCTCACCTGGAGGCTGAGGACTCGAGAGTCCCTCAGATTCTGGGTTCAAACTCCAGCGCTCACTGCTACTCACTGCCTGTGTGGCTACTCTGTGCCTCGGTTTCCCCATCTATACATGTGCAATGATTCCAATGGTATCTGTCACAAAGGATCACTGTAAACACTCAGGGCACAGCAATTGCTAGCTACTGCCATTGCCGTTTATTTTGTAATAATAGCGGCGCTCACATGTCTTGCTCCTGCTGCGCCGGGCCGTGTTCTGGCTGCTTTGCTTTTCCTACTATCGTGCTCAGTTTACAGAGAGGTGAGGGCGCCTGGCCAGGGGAAGCTGGCTCTGGAAGGAAGCACCTGGCTCCCAAGCCGCTGGTCTCCCTCACCCACCTGTGCTGCTGGGCCCCAGATCGGTGCTAATTAAACAGGAGTTGACTTAAGAGGTAATGGTGCTGGAAGGGAGCTTCAGATGAGGAGTTAAGAGGCCTGCCCTCTGCTCGGCCTCGCTGTGAGGACTTGGGAAGTCCCTGCACCCTCCGGGCCTTAGTCTCCCTGACAAGAAGTATAAAGGCTGTGGTTTCCATGTTTCCCAGTGCCCCTCTCCCACCTAACCATCTGCAGCTGAGCTGGGACTCAGACCCAGACCTCAGACTCCATCTCCAGTGCTCCTCTGACTCTGGGGCTTGCAGGATGGTGCAGGGTGGGAAGGACGCTGGAATTAGCCACCTAGCCCAGCTAGGGAGCAATGCGCCCAGCGTGAGCCTCCAGCGGATTTCTGCCAAGAACAAACATAGGCAGGCAAGCTGGGGAGGGCTCCCTGGGGACAAAGGAGGCTTGTACAGGACAGGCAGAGGGCAGGAAGGCAGTGGAGGGCGCGGGCCTCATGGCCCTACCTGCAGGCACCCATGCATGGCTCTCTGTCACGCTCTGGCATGGATCACTGACCCCTTTCATTGCCTGCCCATCTGCCCGGATACAAGGTCCCGGAAGGCTGTTTGTACCCAGGAGTGGGGGAACCTGCTACTTCCCGAGCCACTGCCATGTCCTGGGCCATTGAAAGTCCCACCTGCTGTCTGACCTGACTTTCTCACCCTGTAATCTGAGTTTGGTTTGGCCTTGGGGGAAACAGCTTCTGATCTCCCAGCTTTGGTGGGAACCCAAATTCTTCCCAAGAGGCAGCTCGAGGTGGATGAACATTTTTTGTGCTGCCATCATGGACCTTGGTAATTTTTGTCCTTCCTTGGGTCTAAGTTTCCTCATTGTGCCTTCCGTAGGGGACTGAGGCAAGGCTTGGAAGGATCTGGCAGCAAAGTCTTAAAACAGAGGCCTCACAGAAGTGGGACCCAGAGAGCAGCTGGGTCTCTTGTGCTGAGTTCAGCAGGGATATAACTTTAGAACGCTCCCTGCAGCGCAGTGCTAGACAGACCTCTCCCAAGCACACAAGTGCGTGCACACACCGCATAGACATGCGTGTACACCCAGGGTGCACAGCCATGCCTGTGCACACACATCCAGGCATGCATCACGGGCTTGCACCTTCCCCGACACTTAAGAACACACGTGGACACATCTCTGTGAAATTTCAAACTCATAAGTAGACACACACAGGTAAAAATAGCCCCTCAAACCGACCCAGGCCCAATCACTAAAGCACGAGAGCAAGTCATGTCTGCACACTTGCACGTGGGCCCCATGACCGACTCCCCCCATGCATCTATGTAATAAGTATTTGCTGAGCAGCACCATGTGTCGGGCATCGTCTGGGTGCCAGGGACACAACTTCCTATTATAATCTGGGTCCTCATGGGGCTTTTGAGTTCACGGATATGCATACACACTTAAGATTGCACACGCATGTACAGGCTCACAGGCACACGCTGGGTAGCACACTCCTTACCGTAGCTCAGTGCCGCCTTGTTGAGTCGGACCACGGTGCCTGGCATGGAGGCACTGACCACGGGCAGCAGCAGTGCCAGCAGCAGGCCCAGCCCACGTGCTGGAACCATGGCTGCCCTGGCCACCGCCTCCGGGATTTTTGGGCTGGGGTAGAAACGAGCATCAGGGAGCTTGGGCAGAACGGCCCACCCCTGAGCCACCTGAACCCCACTCTAGCCTGGAGGGATCAAGCCCCGACTGTGACCCCAGCCCTGCCCCAGGTCCACAGACACCCGTTTTGGCATCCCTGCATTGGGAACCATCACCTTGCCCTGCGTGCTTCATCAGGAGCCATGGGGGTAGTCCCTTCTGGAAATGACCCACAATGCCCAGAGAAGAAATGGTCTTGCCTAGGGCCACACAGCAGACTGGGACCAGGTGCAGGACCCAAGCCACGGCAGAGAAGGATGGTGAGCCTCCCAAATGGGGAGGCGGAGGGGAGTTTCCTGTCCCAGGAAAAGGCCCAGGACTGTGTCACCTGATGCCAGAGTCCAGCCCAGTGTGGCAACCCAGCCAGGGGAGGACCTAGGTGGCTCCTGTCCTCATCCCCTCCCGGCCAGGTGAGAAATGGCCCCTATCCACTCCTGACCCGGTCTGGCCGAGTGGGCAGATCTGTGTCTGACTCAGGGAGAGGGAGCCAGGCAGGAATGAGGGACTGCTGCTCAGGCGGGTCAGCTGAGACCCAGGATGGCAGCACTGGCCCAGGTCCCACAGCAAGGCCAGGGTGGAAGGGCCCTTCCGCAGAGGGCAGCTGGAGGTAGCATCCCCACTGAACAGACAGAGAAGCCAAGGCTCCTCAGAGGAGGAGTGCCAGCCCAGCCCCATGCCTACCACAGGTGGTTCCTGAGACAGGTGAACTCTCGGCCCAGGCTAGCCTTCCTCTGCCCCAGGCAGGCAGGTGCAGAGGCTACTTTATAAGGCTCCCAATGTGCAGGGTCCTCTGAGAAGGGACCCAGGGAGTGGCGGGTTTGCTTGTGGTTGCAAGTGTTTTCCCTGTAAACACGGCCTTGGCCAAAGTGTCTCATCCCACAGGTGCATTAGGGCTGCCACGTAGCCAGTAGTGAAGCCCAGCTGCCAACAAGGACAAGCCCCTGGGGCTGGGCAGCTGTGGCCTTAGGGGCCAGGAGATCTCTGGAAGGAAAGCTGCTTCTAGGAGAGTACCCCTATCACCCCAGCCAGGCTCAGGCAAGGCCCGGAGGACAGAGGCACCTGTAGGCAGGGGGATGGCTGCAATGACCCCTCAAGCCTCATACCTCTAAATTCTCCAAGAAAGCCCCTCCCTTTTAGAAGGGGCAGAAGGCTACCTGAGCACCATTCTCTGTCACTGACTGAGCCCTGACCCTGTCACATATTCACACACTGAGCGCTGACCCCAGTGACTGAGCCCTGACCCTGATCACATGCTGAACCCTGGTCCCAGTCACAAACCGAGCCCTAATTCAAAAAGGAACAGAAGAGAAAGTGTGCGTGACCTGTCCCTGCAGCTTAACACTCCAGCCTCTCTCCAAATGCACATTCCACTCGCAACGCTTCAGTCCACCATCTCTTTCCACGTTACAAATGCCAGCCTCCGCCTTGGCTAGATGGGGCCCAAGGAACTGTGTGTGCGTGTGAAGGAATGTGTGTGTTGATATGTGCGTGTGGTTGTGTGTGCATTGTCACATGTACACATATGCCTTGGGTCACAATAGCCTCAGGGGAAAATGTGTGCTGTTATGCGTGGCTGTGGATATGAAATGGGCACATTGGCATCTTGGTTGATGGTGTTACAGGCCTATTTACACAAGCCGACAGGAGGGCAGAAGTGGGGAGTTTTGTGTGCATGTCTGGATACGTGGGGTTTGGCCTACTGAGTGTTTGTGGGTCTGTGAGTGCGTGGTGTTAGGTGCATGTGTGTACGTGTATAGAGTGGATTGTTTCCAGGGATCGGGAGGTACGTGTGAGTGTTTGTGTGTCTGTGCATACACATGTGCACAGTAGGTGATGGCCTTTCCATTTTTCTTCATTAGCACAGGACATCTTGGGGCCTTTCCCCCACTCCAGTGCACTCTGACTCCCACTGACTCCACACCAGCCCAAACATCAGGCCCAGCTCCCAGGCCCACCTGTGCTAGGCCCCCTCCAGTGCCTACAAAGCTGACCACAGACACCATCAAGCCCTCCCCTGAGCACCGGAGCTCACTTGAACCAGCCCTGCCTCCCAACCAGTGCTCCCCTGCCCCTATTCTAGAAGCAAAAAGGCATGAGAAGAGCCTTCTGTCAGTTCCCTGACGTCCTGCTCCTGGCCTTGGTTTGTCCACCAGTGCAGAAGACTGGGCCCTCGCGCGCCCTCACCATAGCTGACGCAAACAGCAGACTCAGTGGATAAAAGTGCAAATATTGACCAAAGCTGCTCTCGGTGTTTGCTCTCGGCACAGACACTTCCTTTTCCTCAATATTTCCAGCACAGGAGCCATCTGAGTGACAGCCAGTAGACATGAAGGAGGGAGATTCTCACCAGCCCATTCCAGATCCCAGCTACCTGCTGACAGCAAGGGCAAGCACCGTTTGGGAGCGCCTGCTATATGCTGATGTTCTGCCAGCCACTTTGCCTGCCTCCACAGGGATGGGAGCTGGTTCTACTCAGCCCTGTATCCAGCCCCTGGACCATACTAGATGCATAAATACCTGTTGAATGAATAAATGAAGGAGTATACATTTGGAAGACCCTTGTAACAATTGTAATGGTGGCATTTCAGTTTCTCCTTCCCTGAATATTCTCAGGGGTCTTGCATTGGTGTCCTGTTGCTGCAATCATGAATTATCACAAACTCAGTGACTTAAGACACAATTTATCATCTTACCATTCTGGAGACCCAGATGGGTCCCCCTGGGCTAAAATCAAGGAGGTATTGGCAGGGCTGTGTTCCTTGCTGAAGGCTGTAGGAGAGGAATTGCTTACCTGACTTCTCCAGCTTCTAGAGGCTGCCCTTATTCCTTGGATCCTGGTGCCCTCCTCCATCTTCAAAGCCAGCATGCTGGGCTGAGTGCTTCTTGTGCTGCCATCTTCCTGCCTCCCTCTTCCACTTATAGGGATGCTTGTCATTACATTGGGTCCACATGGGTAATCTAGGGTATTCTCCCCATCTCAAGGTCAACTGATTAGCAACTTAAATTCCTTTTCTAGCTTTAACTCCCCTTTGCCTTGTGATTTAACATATTTATATGTTCAGGTTTTAGTATGTGGGCCTCTTTGAGGGACCATCGTACCACTTCCCATAGGCAGTTAGCCTGCAATTTTGAGCAACTGCCACCAGGAGGCAAAAGTGAATCCATTTTAGCTTTGCTATCCAAATAGTCAAGCTCCCTACATGCAGGGCTAACAGAAAAAAAATTAGCCTGAACTTTCCACTCAGTTATGTTTTAATTTTTCCCCAGTAAAAAAGTCGAACTTTTTTTTGGAGACAGAGTCTCACTCTGCTGCCCAGGCTGGAGTGCAGTGGCATGATCTCAGCTCATTACAACCTCCACCACCTCCTGGGTTCAAGCTATTTCCATGCCTCAGCCTCCTGAGTAGCTGGGACTACAGGCATGCACCACCACACCCAGCTAATTTTTTGTATTTTTAATAGAGAAGGGGTTTTGCGCAGCCTGATCTCAAACTCCTGAGCTCAGGCAATCCACCCACCTTGGCCTCCCGAAGTGCTAGGATTACAGGCATGAGCTGGCACCCCCAGCCAAAAAGTGGAACTTTATTAAAGCAACAACACATGCAGTGTTATTTTGTGTTATGCACAGTGTCCACCAGTGAGAAGGTCAGCATTACAACACGCATTCAGGTGCCACCTAAGACGGTGAAAAACGGGGGAAGCTTGGGCAGGAAGGGATAGAGGGAACAAGGAAAAGCATGGTTGGGTTAACAGAGCTTCAGCACCTGAGACCTCAGCATGACGCTTTCTATCTTGAGGCCTCAATTTCCCCATCTTTTTTTTTTTTTTTTTTTTTGAGATGGAGTTTCGCTCTTGTTACCCAGGCTGGAGTGCAATGGCGTGATCATGGCTCACCACAACCTCCGCCTCCTGGGTTCAGGCAATTCTCCTGCCTCAGCCTCCCGAGTAGCTGGGATTACAGGCACGTGCCACCGTGCCCAGCTAATTTTTTGTATTTTTAGTAGAGACAGGGTTTCACCATGTTGACCAGGATGGTCTCGATCTCTTGACGTCGTGATCCACCGCCTCGGCCTCCCAAAGTGCTGGGATTAGAGGCTTGAGCCACCATGCTCAGCCTCCCCATCTTAAAAATGGAAAGTTGAGCCAAGCGCAGTGGCTCACACCTGTAATCCCAGCACTTTGGGAGGCCGAGGCGGGTGGATCACCTGAGGTCAGGAGTTCAAGAACAGCCTGACCAACATAGTGAACCTGTTTCTTAAAAAAAAAAAAAAAAAAAAGGAAAGTTGGCACAATGGCTTCCTCTGGGTGAGGTCCTAGGGCCAAGCTGGAAACTAGCCCCGCCCCCTGCCCCTCCACCCACCTGCTCTGTGAGGTCACAGTGCCAACTACTCCAGTGATCCTGACAGATTCCACTTGGCACCTTTCAGAGGACACTCAGAGGCATCAGCCACTGCCTCTTCACCAGCTCCCAGAGATCCCCGCCTCCATCCCTAGTCCTAGAGAAGGAAATCCATGCCACGGTCCTCAAGGAGCCCTGGGGACCCAGGTGCCCTACTTGAAGATGTGGCCAACAACCGCAGGCCCCGGAGGTGAGAATGGCAGCACCCCCTTTGCCCAGCCCTTTACAGTTCACAAAATGCTGCCCCTCCACCCTGTCCTTGGAAGTGAGCGGCATTGTCACTGTACTGCACAGAGGCAGCCACCGAGACCAGAGAGGTCTGGCAGTGGCATTCCCAAAGTCTCCCAGCCAGGAAGTGGCAAAGCAGCCATCTTTCCAGCATGTATTTATTGAGCAACTACTACGTGCCAGGCCATGCACAGAGGACAGGGGACACAGTGCGGTACCAGCCTGATGTGTTCCCTTCCCTCACGGAGCTCACGGTCTAGTGAGGGAGCCTGATAGGAGACAAGGAAACAAGTATTTCGCCATCGTTATCTGTCAGAGGGTCTCTGGCTGCAGGTGACAGAAATCCAGCTCAAAATGATGCCTGTCTCTGGGCACCCAGATCCAGGTGTGTTTCCCAGGAGAGCATACCTAACAATCTGCGAGGGGGACGAGAAATGACCAGACTTGGCTGCATGTCTTTCAACCTCTTTTTGTCTATGTCCCTCAGGAATTTCATCAAGAAATCTGTACATGTGGAAAGGATCGTGTATTAGCACAATTGGGTGTATATATAATTGATTAATAAACATAAATACACTGAGGGTATGACAAAAATGTTTAGAGACCTTTGACTTAAGAAAAAAAGGAAATTTTAAAATCTCACATTTCGAGAGGTCCCACAGAGCAGGAGGCTCCAGAGTGCGCTAATCCCTCAGTTCTGCCACCCAGGACCCAGGCTCCTGTCATCATTTTGCTCCTTTAGTCTCCTCTCCTGGTCACAAGATGGCCACCACAGTTCCGGGTGTCAGGCAGAAATATGGCTGTCTAGGGGAAGGAGAGTAAACACCGTTTTCTGTGGGTCTCATTTAGCTAATACTAAACCTAACCTTTCCCCCAAGTTTCTTACCTCCTAACCACCCCCATGCCCCACCTCACCTCACCCCGTAGACTTCCCCACCCTTGAACCAATCACAGCACAGGAAATGGGGGCATGACAGCAGGTTTCAACCAATCAGGATGCTCTAAAACCACATGGAGCAGGAGCAGACAAAGGGGCAAAACCAGGCTTCTGCCAACCTCTGGGACATGGTGACAACCACCTGTGACTGCCACAGCAACCTGAGTCTTTTCCTTGGTGAAGACCTGGATTTGGGGTCAGGCAGACCTGGATCTGTCCCTGAATCACAGGCAAACTTCTCTACACCTGTTTCCCAATCTAGAATGTGGTATGCACGTTCCAAGGACACTATGTTCCTCATAATTGTAAAATGCGACCATGAATCTTGTCATTTCCAGGATTGCCCGGCGAGGCCAGAACACCAGCAGGATGGCAGAGGACCCCTCCCCAAACATGAGTGAGCAGAGATGGGTGCCTTGGTATCTTCAAGGGAGCTGAGGGGCTGAGGCTCAGAGATGTCAAATGGACAACCTGGGCCACCCAGCCAGGGGCAGGGGCAGAGGGGCAGCGATGTGACGTGATTGTCCTGTGCTCTCTGCAGATGACGCCTTCCTGTTGCCTGTCCACATCAATGCCCAAGCCCCAGGCCTGACTCAGTGCATGCTGGGATGCGTGTGTATGTATATACTGAAGAGTCACCTTGGCCATCAACATGGGCCTGGGGAGAGGGTCCAGCCTCAGCCCAGGGTGACCTGGGGGTGGCAAGGCCTGCCCTGGGCTGCAGGGGTGGTGGGGAGCTGCAGGTTGCACTCTGAAGATCCACGCATTGGAGATGCCATTCCTGCCAATGTCTTTGGTGACTGGAGAGGGCAACTGGGAGGGAGGCTTGCTGTCTGGAGGAGGAGTTAACTGCCAACCCTCTACCACCAGCCCGGCCGCTGGTTTCACCCATCCATCCACCTGTCAAGTCCATTAATTCCCCCAGACCTTACTCCACAGGCACATCCATCCAGCCATCCCTCTCTCTATTCATCCACCCATCCTCTCAGTCTCCTCCCAATTCATCCATCTTCCAAGCCAGACAGCCATTCTCTTCTTCCTTCCTCCATCGACCCCTATGTCCTCCCACCTTCCCATCCATCCTGAGTCCCTACTTTTTGCCTAGTTCCACAGTGGGCATTCGGGGATGAAGCAGACAAGGCCCCTGCTCTTGCCACGCTCCCAGGGTCTGGAAATGGACATTGTTCCATTCCAGGCTTTTTGTGCTCCAGAGTCACTATTGTCTATTAACTGCCAGTGGCAAGCAGCGCCCACCTATAGGACCTGTACTCCCTCCAGGCCAGTACGTACCAACAAGCAGAGCCCGGTGCTGTCCTGGGCTCAGCCAGCAAGTCAAGAGGGTCTCCCAGCTCCAGGACCTCCCCCAGCCCCAGAAAGTTCAGGAGGTCCTGGCAATGGGACAAAGATGAGAGCGCAGTGACTCACTGCTTTCCTGTCTCCTGTGCAGCCTGGGTCAGCTGTTTGGCCTTCTTCCTGAGAACTCAGGCCCAGCGGGTTCTGTTCAACACATGCAGGTGAGCGGGGAGGGCAAGGAAGGGTGATGGGAGTGGGAAGCGGCAGCTCGGGACCATGACAGCCCCTCCATCAGTTTGGATCTCTCCTTGGTAGCCAGTCCAGAAAAGCTATCCCAAACCTGGCTTTTGTCAGACACCCGTACCCCAGAACCCACTGTGGCTCCCCATTGCTCCAGCCCCTCGGCCTGCAGCACCCTAGAATCCTATCCCACCCTTCCTCTCCAAGCTGCTCTCACTTGGCTTCCTGCTGGAGACCCACTGGGCCAGCAAGTCCAGGGTCCTCGCTCCCTGGACACCCCATTCCGAGTCCTATTTGTTCCCACCTCCACACATTTGCACGTGCTATTAACTTTTTTTTTAGACAGGCTTTCACTCTACCACCAGGGCTCACTGCAGCCTCTACTTATGGAGCTCAACCCACCTCAGCCTCCCAAGTAGCTAGGACTACAGGCACACGCCACCATGTCTGAATAAATTTGGTATTCTTTGTAGAGAGAGAATTTCGCCAAAGTGCCCAGGCTGGTCTTGAATGCCAGTGATCCTCCCACCTCAGCCTCCCAAAGTGCTGGGATTACAGGCATCAGCCACTGCACCCAACCCAGCACGTGCTGTTCTTCCTGCCCAGAGGGCCTGTCCCATTCTTTCCCTTTTCCCTTCCTGTCCTTGGAAATTCTTCCAAACTCCAGCAGAGATATCCACCTCATTCATTGATTTGAAGTTTAAATTTTAAATTTAAAACTAGCTCAGACTCACCACTCAGGAGCTCCCCATCAGGTGGGAAAGGCAGGCATCAAAACACTGCCAAGCTCGGAGGGTTGGGAACGTTGCCTGTGGAGCCAGGGAGAGAAGAAGGGATGGGGAAAACAGCATGCATATGGAGAAAGACAATGAGGAGGAGGAGGGTGAACACCTGGCAGAGCCTTGCCCACCCGGCCCTGACCACCGCTCCCTGCCTTCCAGATGCAAGCTGCTGTGCCAGAAGCTCATGGAGAAGACAGGCATTCTGCTCCTCTGTGCTTTCGGTGCGTCCCAGGGCCCTGCCCAGTCCCAGGTTGAGGTATCCCTGCACCCTGGCACTGACTATGGGACGCTGGGCAAGACACCGCCCTGCCATGTGACTCAGTTTCCCCATCTGCCTGATGGGTACTGCTGTGAGAATTATGAAATGAAATGATGACCATGAAAATATTCTGAAAGCCAAGAAATGCTTTGGAAATTGTAACGCTCTCCCCAAACCATGTTAGGAACATTATTGCTCCCGCTTTCTGGCTTTCCATGGTCTTTCCAGCCTCCACCCGCACCTCCCATGCACAGTTTAGCTTTCCCAAGCAAAGGAATCTCCTCCCTCCCTGAAATATGCTGGCTTTGGAGTAGAGGCTGGGGGTCGGGGAGGGAGGGAGAATCAGCTCCTCATAGGAAAATAAACAGTGAGTCCTAGAGAACTGTCCTGATTTTTTTTTTCTTTTTTCTTTTTTTTTTGAGATGGAGTTTTACTCTGTTGCTCAGGCTGGAGTGCAGTGGCTTGATCTCAGCTCACTGCAACCTCCACCTCCTGGGTTCAAGCGATTCTCGTGCCTCAGCCTCTTGAGTAGCTGGGATTACAGGCACGCACCACCATACCCACCTAATTTTGATATTTTTAGTAGAGACAGGGATTTACCATATTGGCCAGGCTGGTCTTGAACTCCTGACCTTGTGATCCACCCGCCTCAGCCTCCAGAAGTGCTGGGATTACAGGTGTGAGCCACCGTGCCCGGCTGTCCTGCTTTAAAATCCAATAGGACTTTTATAATACCATCTTTTATAAATAACGCCTTTTGGGGGGTTTTTTGGTTTTTGGTTTATTTGTTTTTTGTTTTTGAGATGGAGTCTCACTCTGTCACCAGGCTAGAGAGCCGTGGTGCAGTCTCAGCTCACTGCAACCTCCACCTCTCGGGTTCAAGTAATTCTCTGCCTCAGCCTCCTGAGTAGCTGGGATTACAGATGTGTGCCACCACACCCAGCTAATTTTTGTATTTTTAGAGGCGACAAGGTTTCACCATCTTGGCCAGACTGGTCTTGAACTCCTGATCTCATGATCCACCTGCCTCAGCCTCCCAAAGTGCTGGGGTTACAGGCATGAGCCACTGCGCCTGGCCTGCCTAACACCTTTATTGTGACACTATTAGAAATGAGTTTCTTGCTGGGTATAGTGGCTCATGCCTGTAATCCCCGCACTTTGGGAGGCTGAGGTGGGCAGATCACCTGAGGTCGGGAGTTCAAAATCAGCCTGACCAACATAGAGAAACTCTGACTCCATTAAAAATACAAAATTAGCTGCGCATGCTGGTGCATGCCTGGAATCCCAGCTACTCCAGAGTCTGAGGCGGGAGAATCACTTGAACCTGGTAGGTGGATGTTGTAGTGAGCTGCAATCGTGCCATTGCACTCCAGCCTGGACAAGAGTGAAACTCCGTCTCAAAAAAATAAAAAAGAAATGGGTGTCTTAATTTTGTTTTCAGGTTATTTATTGCTAGTGTGTAGAAACACAACAGACTTTTTGTACCTTGATCTTGGATCCTGCAATCTTCCTGAACCCAATTTTTATTTGTAACGTGAGGCAAGGCACCTAACCTCAGATCCCTTCGAATTTTAATGCAAGATCATGTCATTTGCAGATAGAGGTAGTTTTAACTCGTTTCTGCATGATAATCTGGATGACCTTTACTTCTTTTTTGTTTTTTTAAGACAGAGTCTTGCTCTGTCACTTAGGCTAAAGTGCAGTGGTGCAATCGTAGCTCACTGCAGCCTCAAACTCCTGGGCTCAAGAGATCCTCCCACCTCAGCCTCCTGAGTAGCTAGGACTATAAACATGCACCACCTCCCTGAGCTAATTTTCTTAATTTTTGTTTAAATTTTTTTTTTGTAGAGATGGAATCTTGCTGTGTTGGCCAGTTTGGTCTAGAACTCCCAGCCTGAAACCATCCTACCTCAGCCTCCCAAAGTGCTAGGATTACAGGTGTGAGACAACACGCCTGGCCTACTGCTCTTTCTTGACTAATTGGCCTGGCTAGAACCTCCAGTACCATGTTAGATAGAATTGGCAAGAGCAGACATCCTGGTCTTGTCCCTGATCTTAGGGGAAAAGTGTCCAGTCTTTCACCATTAAATAGAATATTAGTTTGGAGCACTTCATAGATGGTCTTTATCAGGGCGAGGAGGTTCCCTTCTATTCCTAGTTAGTTGAGGGTTTTATCAAAAACAACAAATAAGTTTTAAAGACTGTGTTTTTTGTTTTTTTTTTTTGAGATGGAGTCTCTGTCACCCAGGCTGGAGTGCGGTGGCATGATCTTGGCTCACTGCAACCTCTGTCTCCCGGGTTCAAGCAATTCTCCTACCTCAGTAGAGGCTTTTTTTTTTTTGAGGCAGGGTCTCACTGCCTTGCCCAGCCTGGAGTGTAGTGGATCGCAGCTCACTGCAGCCTCAACTTCCTGGCTCAAGTGATCCTCCTGCTTCAGCCTCCCAGGTAACTGGAACTCTTTTCTTTATGATAATCTGCAGGACCCTTACTTCTTTTTTGTTTTTTAAGACAGAGTCTTGCTCTGAGACTAGAGTGCAATGGTACAATCATAGCTCATTGCACCACCACACCTGGCTAATTTTTCTATTTTTTTGTAGAGATGGGGTTTCACCATGTTGGCCAGGCTGGTCTTGAACTCCTGGGTTCAAGTGATCCACCCGCCTCAGCCTTCTAAAGTGCCGGGATTACAAGTGTGAGCCAGCACCCCCAGCCAAGACTTTTAAATAGTGGCTTGAATGGTGGCATTTCAGCCAGCATGGAGATCATAAAATTCAGAGTGCCTCCTTTTCTTTGCCAATTATCCCCAATAGAGTTGGAACAGGGAAGGGGGAGCCACAGATTCCTTGGTTTATGGGCCACATGTTACATGTTTGATATCATCTGATCATGAGGTGGGTATTGCTGTTATGTCTGTTTTACAGAGGAGGGAACTGAGGCACGGAGCATTAAGTCATTCCCCCAATGCTGCACGATGCTAGCAAGTGGCATAGCTGGGATGTGAACCCAGATGTCTTAACTCCAGCACCTGGGCACTTAATCTTGCATGTTAAATGGCTCATTCTTATTCTCATGGCCTCACAGGATTCTGGATGTTTTCTATTCACGTACCATCAAAAATGAGAGTTGGGCAGGTGAGCGTGCACCCTCCTCAGGCCCTATGGCTGACTGGTCTCACCCTAACGAGTCAATACCACCTCCACAGCTCCACTCATTCTCACCACATCAGGCCCCTAATCAGATCCTGACTTAACCCAGATCCAAATCTCTCTCTTCATCATGCCACCCACCTAGAACCCATCTCTTCTGCCAGAGGTGACTTTCAAAGATTGGATGCAATAGTCCCTCCTCCAAGATGGCTCTCCTGTCACTTACTCTCGGAGACGACCCATCTCTCCTTTCTCAAGGCCCCACTTAAAGTGCGGTGGTGGTAACAGGGAACACACGTCTGTACTTAAGGCAGCCTGTCCTGTTAAAAGCAATGAAACTGAGGAGGAAGGAGGACGGAATAAGTGGCGAGACTCCCTATTTGATGTCAGCAAAAAGTCTCAGAGGGCCTCAGAAAGGGGATCTGAAGGGCCTGTCCCTCCCCCTCCTCTTTTCCTCCTTATGAACCCCTTCCTATCCATCAAGGTCCAGCTAACGTGTCACCTCCTCTAGGAACACCCAGGCAGAAGTGGTCTCATTCCTCTTTCCTCCTATAATTTTCTGTGGTCATCACTGTCTCTCCAACTATACTGGCAGCTTCTTGAAGGAAGGAGCCAGGTCCTATTCACCCCGGCAATGTTTAGCTTGGTACCAGCAACAGGGTTGCCACTATCAATGTTGAATGACCGGATGGCCAGAAGGGAGTGTGCAGGGAGAGAGAACGAATGGGAGGTTGGACAGATGGAAGGTCGGATTTGATGGATTAGGACTGTAGGGAAAGAAATGGGAGGCTAGATGAATACATGAATAAGAGAACAGATGGATGAGATGATGGGTGGTTGGAAGATCAGATGGGATAGATGAGTGGATGGGTGGGTTGGTGGATAGATGGATGGATGGCTGAGTGGGTAGATGGGTTAGGGTGTATGTATTAGAGTGTAGCTAGATGGGGGAGGTTGGGGAGATGGAAGATTAGATTGATAAGGGAGGGTGGGTGGATGGGTAGAAGAGGTGTGGATGGATGAAGGTGTGGATGGATAAATTAAAAGGACAGTAAATTAGAGTTTGGAGGAATTATAGGTGGGTGGTTGAATTATAGGTGGGTGAAGGGTCAACAGGAAGGTGGATGAATGTGTGGGTTTATGATTGTGAGGGAATAGATGGATGAAGTTCTCCTGGGGCCAGATTAAACCAGCTGAAGGAGACCCCTTACTTTTCTCAATACTCCACCAGGATGACAGCATAACTACTCCACTGCAGAGCTTGAGGTAAGAGGAATCTTCTGAGTAACCGTATGATTACCTAAAAAGCAGAGCTACAGCCAGAATCTGGGGTATATTGGCTATAAACGTATGCTCTGCAGTTAGACAAACCTGGGTTTAAATCCTAACTCCCTCATGTTCTACATGGCTGACCTTATGCAAGTCACCTTTTCTCTCTGGGCCTTTGACCCCTCATCTATTAGATGAAGCATAACACCCATCCTGCCCTTGGCAATTATGGGCACTAAAGAAATGTGAAGTGTCCTGAATAGTTCCTGACCCATAGTCAGTACTCAGCAAAGGGTAGCTGGAAAAAATTTTAGCCAAGACACCACCTGATGGCAGCATCCTTAATTGCAGACAAAATACTCAGGAATATTTGGAAGGAATGAGCTAGGTGTAAGGATATTCCAAGCAGAAGGAAGAGAAAGAGTAATGTTTTAGAGATAAGAACCTGATGAAGGGGTCTAGGGATGTACCCAAGAGAGTGGGAAAATCTGAAACTCATTCTTTGAGAGCCAACTAGCAAAGAGAAAATCTGAAGGTAACACCAACAGCAGCACAAATCAGCCCAATCTTGTGATCACTCCTTCTTGATAAGGTTGTACCAGGAGAAGGTGCGACATCACAGTGGGGAAATCCAGGACCTCCGAGGTAGCATAAACCTGCTCACTGCCAAGCTCCAGGAGATGGAAGCCATGTCCAATGAGGTGAGATGCTGGCTATTCTGCCCCAAATATCTAACTTCTCTTTGTCTGATGTCCTGTTTCCTGTACCTCAAGTTTCCTTTCTTGGTTTTATCTCTCATTTTAATGGAGAACATCCCCCAGTGACTTCCAGGAAAAGAGTGAAAGAAGTCTCTTTTTTAGTGCTTGTATGTTTAAAAACATCTTTTTCTGTCCTGGTACTTGGTTGATAGTTTGGCTGGTTATATAATTCTAGATATGAAATAGTTCTTCCTGAGAATTTTGAAAGAAACCCACCACTGTATCATAGTTTATACTGTTGCTATTGATATAAATAAAAAGTCTGTCACTCTTATTACTGATCCTTTGAATACGATCTATTTTTTATCCTTAGGAGCTTGTAGAACATTCTTTTTGTCTCCAATGTTCTACATGTAACCTGGTTTGGGTTTTGCTGAGCTTACCGAATCGGTGGGTTGACATTTTTTCAATAGTTTTGGAAAACTTTTACTTTTCATCTCTTAAAATATTTCTTGTTTTCCATTATCTGTCCTATCCTAGGACAGATACACCTATCCTAGGCCTATGCTTTGAAGGCCTTTAGAGTGCTTCATGTCATTCATATGCTATTACCTGGTTTGTTTTGTCATTATTTTTCTGTATGTGCTTATGTTTTGATATTTTCCTGTTAACCTTTCTTCGGGTTTACTAATAATCTGGCATCATTCTGTCTCTCCAATTTACTATTAAACCCATTCATTTAGTTTTTTTCTCCGTTTGTTTGTTTGTTTGTTTACAGAGTCTCCCTCTGTCATCCAGGCCGGAGTGCAGAGGTGTAGTCTTGGCTCACTGCAACCTCTGCCTCCCAGATTCAAGTGATTCTTATGTCTAAGCTTCTGAGTAGCTGGGGTTACAGGTGCATGCCACCATGCTTAGCTAATTTTTGCATTTTTAGTGGAGACAGGGTTTCACCATATTGCTCAGGCTGGTCTTGAACTCCTGACCTCAAGTGATCCACCTGCCTCGGCCTCCTAACTGGGATTAGTCGTGAGCCACCACATCCGGCCTTAGTTCTTAATTTTAGATACTGTATTGTTTAGTTCTAGGGTATACCTTTGATTTTTTTCACAGACTTTAATTCTGTGATGAAATTCTCCAACATTTCACCTATGTTTTCTATCTTTTCCTTTATTTTAATTAACATATTAGTAAGTCATTTTTAAAATGCTTGTCTGCTAGATCCAGTAGCTGGATCATCTGTGGCCTCCCTCTGTTTTCTGCTTTTTATTTGGGGTATCAGTCATATGGACTTGCCTCTTCAAGTCTAGTAACTTTTAGTGTTTTCTGAACATTGTATAAAAAGCAGCTGTAACTGTTCCAAATAATTATAATTCCACTAGAGAAAGTTCTCCTTTTATTTATAAGGAAGATGAAGTAGATTATCATTTCTATCTAGACATGCATTAAGCTAGTTCAGATAGAGCTGGGTCAGATTTTTTAAAAGGTTTATTTAGAGGTTTTAAGCTTAACTCTTTAGACTCCTTCCCATGCAGTTTCAAAATTTTGGCAAATGTCTTAGTGGCAAAGACTTATCATATGTTTGAGGTCTCATGGGTCTCCAAATTTGTCTCTCACCCCTGCGTGAATGCAACAGTCTCTGGGCCCAGTGGCAAACTTGGATTCTTGGCTTCTAATTGTGCCCAGAATTGGTTTAATGCCCCCAGCTGAAGTGCAGCTGAAGCACAGTCTTGACTCACCACCCCTTCTAGGGCAATGGATCTCCAAGTACGGCCCATGTGCCTGTAGCATCAGTAACACCTGGGAAAATGTAAGCAACTGAAATGAATAGGCCTCACTCAGCCCTACTGAATCAGAGGCTCTGAACATGGGAACCAATCATCTGTATTCCAGCAAGTCTTCCAGGTGGTTCTGACACCAAACAGACTCCCTGTTCTAAGGCTTTGATCTCTTGCTTGTTGTGTTTTTGGGTGCCCTCCCTCAAAGGGACTTCGTTTCCTACGCACTGTGAAGATGTGAAGTTTTGTTCTGCCTTTCAGAAACCTTTGAAGTGGCCTATTACAATCTTGGAATTCACTTAATACCTTGTGAAGAAAACTGGCCATATTTGAGGCTCCTCAAGTCCCCAGTGTCATTACTTTAGCTCTTTGTCACCATTAAAAACTTTGCTTCTTTCTCTTTCACCAACAGCAGCAGCAGCCCATTATCTGGCCTAAGCCCAGATCCTTAGCCCATGCCTGGAATCATCAAATGCCCCCAGAGATTTAAAACAACAGACAAGAAAACCGCCAACACAGCTCAGAATGGTGGTCCACTCTGCAGAATTTTAGTTCATCTGGTCCTTGTTGGTTCCACAGATGTGCCTATGGGCCAGGCTGGTCTCGAACCCATCAGTCTGGAAACTCCAGGCCTTCAGTCCTAAGAAATGTCCTTTATTCCTGTGACTAAATTGGTGGATTCCCCCAGCTCCATTAGCTCCATTTGCTCCATTCGTTCCATTTTGATCTTTGAACCTCCTGTTATTTGGATCCCAGCTCCCGAACAGTTCTAATTCTTTTCATACCATTGGGTGAACATACATACTTACTGATCTTGGGAGTAGATACGACGAGGAGTAGAACTGCTGGATCGTAAGGTACGAGTGTGTTCATGTCATTAGTTGCTGCCAAATAGTTTTTCAATTTACGCTCTCGTGGCGAGTATATCCCAGTTGTACCACATCCTTACCAACGATTGGTGTCATAAGTCTTTTTCATTTTATGCGGCGGGGTGAGAAGTGGTGTCTCCCTACAGTTTTAATTGGCATTGCTGGTTGTTAATGATGTGGAGTGTCTTTTCGTGTATCCAGTGGCCATCTGGATTTTGTCTGCTGCCTTTTGGGGGAGAGTGCTGTTTCTTATTGATGTGTGGGAGTTATGTGCTCTGGGCAAACATCTTTTATGGGAGGTACACACTGCAAATATCTTCTCCCTGTCTGTAGTGTGGCTTTTCGTTCTCAATGGTGACGAATAAAAATGCCTAATGTTAATGTAGTCCAATGTCGCTATCTCTTATGTGCAGTGCTTTGGGTGTCCTGTTTAAGAAACTTTCACCTGTCCCAACAGAGTCCCTCTGCTTTACCCTCTCCAGGGAATAACTTCTAGTCTTCTACTGGGGAACAGAGAAGTCACTCAGCTTCTCAGAATGAGAGGGAGTCTCCAGGGAATCTGCCTCAAAGTTGGCTTAACACCCAATTCTCCACCCTAATTTCAGAGGCACCTAAGGGCACCAATCCTGAGCTTTTTGAGGATGGCCAGTTTCACATGCAGATTTCTCATTTCTGCTAAATCAGTAGTTCTCAATTGGGGATGATTTCGCCCCTGGGGAACATACAGCCATGTCTGGAGACATTTTTGGTTGTTACAACGTGAGGAGGAGATGCTACTGCCATCCAGTGGGTAGCCAGGGATGCTGCTGACAATGTATAAGACAACTTCCAAAATGGCCAAGACCAGCTCGGCGTGGAGACCCCAGCCCAGGTGGCGCTGAAGGAATTAAGAAACAGAAACAAGGATAGAGTGCAAAAGTGGGAATCAGAGTGGGACGTCAGGGGGCTCACAGCATTTCAGAGCTGAGAGCCCAGAGCAGACTCTGACCCACATATTTATTCTTTGTGACCAAGTGATCGTTTTTAATAAGCAGGTGTTCAGTGTTTCTTCATAGAATAAAGATAGACTAAACAGGCAGACAGTGCTGGTTCACTACTGAAATAGAAATCAGCTAGAAAGCACTCTGCGAGTAAGCCGTGGGCACAAGGCCATGCATCCTGTGTTTTGGGAACGACTGGTACACATTGCTCACTATTCCATAACGCCCTGAGCAGTTTTCCGCCGGGGACGGCTCGGTGTTCCTTGCCATCGTTTCTCAGTAAACTACATATGATCCGTCACACACACATCAAGACCTTTTCCCAGCACAGAATATTACTGCTGTCTCCAGGGCCACTACTGGGACACATGGTGCCTTTTTGCAGAGGGGAAAAAGCTACCTGTGCTGGGCAGCCATATTTGCAAAATGCATCTTCATCCAAATCAAAGAACAGGGGAAGAGCTGGGTGTCAGCCCACACCGGGCCCTTAACTGGAAACCCTTCTGCAGTGCACACCATGCCCAACCACCCCCGCGGCCTGGGTTTCTCCTCTCCCGTGCTGCCTGTGTATATGGGTTTGGGTCTTTTTAAATCCCTTTACTGAAGCTGTAACGGAGTGCTGGGAGAAAGTAAAATTAGATGATGTGTTTCATCCGTCATCTTTACCTAGAAGCTGAATTTTTTTTTTTTTTTTTTTTTTTTTGAGCCAGAGTCTCACTCTGTTGCCCAGGCTGGAGTGCAATGGTGCCATCTTGGCTGCAACCTCCACCTCCTGGAGTCAAGCAATTCTCCTGTCTCTGCCTCCTAAGTAGCTGGAATTACAGGTACACGCCACCATGCCCGGCTAACTTTTGTATTTTTAGTAGAGATGGCCAGGCTGGTCTCGAACCCCTGACCTCAGGTGATCCACCCGCCTTGGCCTTCCAAAGTGCTGTGATTACAGGTACGAGCCACCACACCCGGCCAGGAGCTGAATTTTTAAAATAATTCACAAAGGGAAATTGCATTGTGCAAGATTCAGCAAAACTTTGCTAAAACTCGTCTTTACCTTTTATTGTCCCAAAGTCATAGATCTGCAGTGCTCCTGAATTTCCCCCTATGCTCTGTTCAGACAGACCCAGGAGGAAAGACCGCGTCAGCCACTCGCTACAGTGAGGCTCTTGGCAGGTTTCTCCTCTGCAGTGGGGAGGGAAGCCCCGCTGTGACTTACGAAGGCAGTCAAGGGTAGTGATTGTAAGGACTGGCTCTAGAGTCAGGGTGCTGGGCTTTGAATTTCCTCTCCACCAACTATAAGCTGTGTGACTCTGGTCAATTACCTACTGTCTTTGTGCCTCCGTTTCTTCATCTAGAAAATGAGTTGTAAGGATTAAATTTGTTAATTTATGTAAACTTAGGCTAATACCTGTCATATGGTAAGCAGTCCCTAAGTGTACCTACTGTGTGCTAGGAATCCAGGATCGGGGATCAACTAGAGCTCATCCTTGTCCTCAAGGCAGTCCCAGAACCTGTGGATCCCAGAGAAGAAGCCTGCACCCAGCCTTGGGGCAGAGAGTGGGTGGGGCCATCAGGGAAATTCCTTGGGGTTGGTGACCCAGTTTTGAAAAGTAATAGGTGAGAATTTGCCCAGCCAACGAGGGGAGGAGTTGGGGACTTTTTGCCTTTTGGAGCTGTGTAACCTCAGGCAGCTCATCAACCTCTCTGAGCCTCGGTTTGCACATCAACACGATAGAATCGTAATCACCTCCTTGTAACAGCCTGGCTACTGTTTAGTTACCATTGCCGCAGAACAAACCATCCTAAAACAGCGGCGTGAAACAATCACTTGTGCTCAGAGATTCTGTGGCTTAGGAATTCAGACAGGACACGGTGGGGATGGCTTGTCTCTGTTCCATCTGGGGCCTCCGCTGGGAAGACTTGAAGGCTGGAGATGACTCTACAGCTGGACTGGAATCATCTGGATTCACTCACGTGACTGGAGATTGACGCTGGCTGTCAGCTGGAAACTCAGGGCTGCGGATCAAAGCACCCACCTGTGGCCTCTCCTTGTGGCCTGGGCTTCCTCTCAACATGGCAGCTGGCCTCCAGGGTTGAGCATCCCCAGAGAACCAGGCAGTGCTATATCGTTTTTTAGGACTTAGCCCCAGAAGTCACACAGCATCACTTCCGTCGTAGCTATAAGCCCAGAGTGGTGGGAAGGGAACTTAGACGCCACCTCTCAGTGGAAGGTCACACTGAAAGAAGAGCCTGGAATGGGAGACCCTGTTGCAGTCATTTTTGGAAAACGGAATCTTCCACCACTGTGAAGAGTCTAATAAAAAGGACAGCTGGTATTTATTGTGTACCTACTGTGCTATCTGCATCTGGCAGCAGAGTGGCGTGGTTAAGGGCCTGAAGTCTGGAACCGCAGTGATCGCTCTGCGTCACACCAGCTGCACGACCCTGGACAACTTACACCTTGTGCTTCAGGATTCTCATCCTTAATATGAGGATGACAATAGCACATACATACTTCTTAGGGGTGCTGGGAGGTGATAGGATGAGCATGAGCATATGTGACATCGAGAATAGCCCCGGCACATAGTAGGGGCTTTATAGATCTGCAATGGGAGGTAGACACGATTATTGTCCCCATCTTACAGGCTAGAAAATCAAGACTCAGAGGGGCAGTAACTTGCCCAAGGCCCCACAACAGTAAAGGTCGTCCTGACGTCAGAGCCCCTGCCTTAACCTCACCGAGACTCCGGGACCCCTGAATGACATCGGTCACGGTGGACTTGAAAGAGCCCCGTGAACCCACTGGGTGGGGTTGGGGTGGCTCTGTGTCGCCTGGCTTTCACAGTAGAGCCACAGGCTTCTGCAGGCAGGGCCGGGCTGTCAGGGAGAGGAGGGCGTCCTGCCTGTCACCTCCCGTGGACACGCAGGGATTACAGTTCCTGACAACACACCAGCGCACAGCACGTGTCTTCTCCCTTTCCAGCAAAACATGGCCCATAAAATAATGAAGATGATACAAGGAGATTACACCGAAAAGCCAGACTTCGCCCTGAAATCTACGGGTAAGTGACCCCCTTCCCCACCATCTGACTGCCTCAAGTGTCCTGAGAAGCTCTACAGAGGGTGAGTTTCACTCTTGGTGTGGTATACCCCCTGCTGCTGGGAAGTCCATCCTCAGAGCTGACCTCTGCTCCAAGCTGGTTTTCTTGCTACAATTTTGTTTTCTCTCAAGGGGGTCTGGGACGACGAGGTTGGGTATGGGGAGTAGGGATGGGTGGGGTGGGAGGGAGCACAGTAATCCACAGACCCTCTACATTGTGGAAGATCTATAAAGCCCCTACTATGTGCTCGGGCTGTTCTCGGCTTCACCTTGCCACCGCCCCCACCCACCACTATTCTCCAAACCTGGAGCTGGGCACACAGGTCAGCAGGACAGAGCTGTCCCCACCCCCGCACTCAAGAATCAGTGCTTCAGGGCCAGTCACAGTGGCTCACGCCTATAATCCCACTTTGGGAGGCCGAGGCAGGAAGATCACCTGAAGTTAGGAGTTCAAAACCAGCCTGGCCAACATGGAGAAACCCCGTCTCTACTAAAAATACAAAAATTAGCTGGGCATGGTGGCTCATGCCTGTAATCCCAGCTATTCAGGAGGCTGAGACATGAGAATCACTGGAACCCAGGAGATGGAGGTTGCAGTGAGCCGAGATCGCACCACTGCACTACAGCCTGGGCAACAGAGGGAGACTCTGTCTCAAAAAGAAAAGAATCAGTGCTTCTAGGCAGGTGGCAGGGAAGGAGAGGACCTGGGCAGAAAGGCCTTCTGCTCCGGGGAACATTTGGGCTGGGACTTGGTGAGGAGAGAAAGCCTTCCAGGCCAAGGGACCCTGTGAGGAGGCCGGTGAGAGCGAGTCAGGGACAGCTGGTAGGAGGCGAGGTCTGGGCCACAGGCGGGGGGCACAGACCCCTACCAGGCAGCACCACTGACTCGGACACTCCCAGGCTCTGGGAGACATGGGGTCAGATGGTATCAGCCCAGCCCCTGAGTGCTGGGCCTCACTTAGCCTCTCGTGGCTGGGATTTCCTCCTCTGCACAGTGGGTATCAGTCATCATTAGATGTTAGATGGGGAGTGCTTACCCTGTGCCAGGCACTTTGGGAAACACGCTCTGACGTCTCATCTCAGTGCCGCAGCAGCCCTATGACAGGGAGGCCATTGCCACCACCACAGCTGTGCTAATCGTAGCCACCATGAGAATCGCTTGAACCCCGGAGGCGGAGGTTGCAGTGAGCCGAGATCACGCCACTGCACACCGGCCTGGGGACAGAGCAAGACTTCATCTCAAAAACTAAAAAATAAATAAAATAAAATAAAAAGTAATAGCCATCATGATGACCATTATTAACATGGCTGCAATCCCATTTCCTAGAGGAGAACAGGGCCAGTGACTCATCCAAAGGGCTCTCCCGGCTCATAGTAAAGGCCGCATCAGTGGGGTCCCCTCCACCAGGCAGAAGCCTGGCTGCTTGGCTGAGACCGCCTTCTCCCACACAGGGGCCAGCATTGACTTTGAGCACACGTCAGCCACCTACAACCATGACAAGGCCCACTCCTACTGGAAATGGATCAGGCTATGGAACTACGCACAGCCCCCCGACGTGATCCTTGAGGCAGGGACGATGGCAGGAGATGGGACAGCAGCAGGGGAGGGGTCCAGGCAGGGTTTGGGGACAGGAGCTGGCAGAAGAGGTAGGGGTGGGAGCAGAGGGAGTGAGGTGGGGGCAGGGTTAGAGGCAGGAGCAGGAGACAGATGCAGGACAAAGGAAGGAGGCAGGAGGAGGGGCTGTTGACTAGGTGGGGCCTGGAAGAGGGCAGGGGCAGGAGGTGAGAAATGATCACAGGGGCCGCCGGAGCTAGGGTAGAGCAAAGCGGAAGGACAGGTTGCATTGGCATTGGAAGGGACCCCACCACTCAGCCCTCAAGACTTGAGGGTCCGAGAAACCTCAGGACTACACAGGGGTTGGGCCTATGATAGATCCATTTTGCAGAAGAGGAAACTGAGGCTCCAGGAGCCAGGTCACTTGACTGCGGCCTCACAGCCAGTCACTAGCACATAGCAGAGCCAGAGTTCAAACCTGAGCTCTTTGCCCCTCCAGGATCCTGCCTCACAGAAGAGGAAAATGAGGCCCAGAGAAGGGAAAGGGCTTGTCCTGGTCACACAGCAGGTGCCTCCATTCAGTGAACACCTGCTAAGAGTCTCATCCCAGTGGCCAACCCTGGAAATGCCAAAAGGTCGCAGGCCATTTATCCGTGGACTCTACCTTAAGGAGCTCCAAGATCTTGGCACTCAGGGTCAAGCTGGAGCATTGGCCTTGCTCAGCGTTGGACGGGGTGAAGGGCTTCCTGGACGAGGCAGCCAAGGACGAGCATATCCACAGGGAGAGAGAACCCAGAGCCATAGGCCAAGCACAGGGCCCGGAGTGCAGCATGGTGCACAGATCCAGGCTGGGGCGGGGGGAGGGCAGTGGCTGGGTTGCAGAGTGCTGGTTGCAGTCAGGTTTGGAGCAGTAGTGAAAAGTTGCCCAGTCAAGACTCTGGCCCTCCGGGGCCCTCTCCTGGCTCCAGCCTGACTGAGCTCTCTTCAGGTCCGCACCTCACCAAGCTGGCTCGCCCTGGGCCTGTCCTGTGCTGTTCCCTCAGCTCCCTTTCCCAGCTGACTCCCCATCTACCCGGGCCTAGCTCCTCTGGAGGCCGTCCCTGACACCCACAGCTCCCCCGCACCTCCTGGGCTAGTATCTACTGTTCAGATAAGGACTGTTCATGCCGTGGCTCCAAGAGGCTCAGAACCTACCAAGTAAACACCTTTCCTGGGTGATTTCTGTCAAACCTCTTTCTCTCCCTGGGCCTCTTGCCCCATCTGTGGGGCAGGAGATTGTGGTGACGAATGCAGAGTTCCAAGGTCAGACTCCCAGAGCTGCACTTCCAGCCTGCATGACCTGGGCCAGTCATTGTCCTGCTCCTCCCCTCAGCTCCCTCACCTTCAAAATGGGGATAGTGATGGTACCTAAGTCATGGGGTGATTGTGAGACTATGTAAAGAATAATGGGAGGGATGAATGAGTGAATGAATGAGTGAATGAATGAATGGGTGCCAATCGGGACAGGGTGGAGGCTGAGAGGCCCCAAGCAGGTCCCTTCTTCACTGCACTGAACTGAGGGAAGGCTTACCCCTGCACGGGCAGTCAGGAGAGCTTCCTGGAGGGGGCGGTACTTGAGCCAAGCTTTGGAGACAAGAAAGGACTGGTTCACCCAGGAGGGCCCAGGAAGTGCAGGGGATCAAAGGTGGGATGATGCCCCCTACCCACCCCCAGCATATCCCTTATTGTACTTGCCTTTTCTAGCCCAACGTGACACCTGGCAACTGCTGGGCCTTTGAGGGTGACCACGGCCAGGTGACCATCCGATTGGCTCAGAAGATCTACCTGTCCAACCTCACGCTGCAGCATATCCCCAAGACCATCTCACTGTCAGGCAACCTGGACACTGCCCCCAAGGATTTTGTCATCTATGTGAGCACTCCCCGGCAGGCAGCCATGCTTAGCTGAAGCGACAAGCTTCCAACGGTGGTATTCCAGGCTGGCGTAAACAGGGTCCCCACAACGCACACAGGGGAGGGGCTGGGTGCAACTTGGTTGAGGCTGGAAGTGGCCAGGGTTGGGGTCCGATTTCAGCCTTCAAGAGTAGGGGATAAACAGCTACTCTATTTCAAATCAAGCTTTCAGAGCCAAGATAATCTGCAGAGACCATGGAGCCCCCATTTTGCTAAGAAGGTCCGAAGAATTACCTGGACTGTCTCAGTAAAACAGGTCCATAGAAGGATCAGGGAAGCACCTCAGTCCTACCAGTCAGTAGCAGAGCTAGAAATAAACCCTCAGCCTCTGGCTCCCAGTCCAGTGCTCTTTCCTATTCATTGCACTGTGCTGCAGTGGAGCGGTGTCCAGACAGGTAGTAAGCTCCCATCCTGGGGAGTGTGAAGTCCCCACTGCAGAGGGGAGACACCCTCTAAGGGCCTTGCTGGTATCTGACGTCTTCTCCATGGTTCTGCTTCCACAGGGCATGGAGAGCTCCCCCAGTGAGGAGGTGTTCCTAGGGGCATTTCAGTTTCAGCCGGAAAACATCATCCAGATGTTCCCGCTCCAGGTACCCGCGAACAGCTGCCTGTGCTGAGCCCCTGCTGAATGCAGTGTGCAGCCTGTCCCCAGGGACCCCCTTCTTCATCCCCCAGTATCCCCAGGAGGTGCCCAGTCATGACTAACCTGCTTGACAGGCAAGGAAACTGAGGCCCAGAGAGTGGCAGCCGCTGCCCAAGGCCAAGTGAGACTCCTGGGAGATCCGACCACCTGTGGCCACCTCTCCCCCTTTCCCTGATGTGCCCGGGAGCCCTCTTGCTGCATTTCTTCCCAGGACAGCAGACGTTGAGCAAGAGGGTCCCATGGGCAGGGGCTGCTGGCTCTAAAGGTAGAGTCTCCATACTGGGTGGCCCCAGAATCAGCACCTGATCCAACCACAGGTGGGGAAACTGAGGCCTGAGGGGAGGGGTTGGAGACAGAAGCAGGTCTGGAGTGACCACTGGAATGGCCCTGAGGCTTGAATCAAACACTTGTTGGCCTAAATCTCACCCCAACTATAAATTATACATGAGCTTGGGCCAAGCCTTTCTTCTCTGGGGCCTCAGTTTCCCCTTCTGTCATTCCCTGGGAGGTGGAAGCCATTCAGTGAAGGCTAAGCCCGCCCCACTTTTTACACTAGATAGGGAGTGTAATAAACACAGGCTCCACCCCCTCTTGCTTGGCAAAAAAGGGGAGGGGTTGCACTTACAGAGCAGTTACTATGTGCCAGATGCTGGAAGCTGCTGGCCCCAAAATCTCACTTCACGTCCATGGCAATCCTGGGAAGCAGATAGTACCTCTCCCATCTTACAGGGGGGCGGGGCAGGAGTGGGGGACTGAGGCCCACAATGGGTGGAGGTTTGCCCAAGATCGCACGGCACCAAGGCTGGGACATTTCCTCATCCACACTATGTCTATCCTTCTGGCCTCAGCATCTTCAGCAAGAGCTCCTGAATAGCGACTTGTTGTGTGGCCTTAGGACAGCCCAGCCTCCTCTCTGGGCCTTAGTTTCCCCACCTATGAAGTGGGAAAGTTCCCTTCCACCCCTCACCTTTGGACAGACAGGATGGGAGTCTATGGGTGAGCTGCCTCTGTGACATTCTCTTCCAGAACCAGCCGGCCCGGGCTTTCGGTGCGGTCAAGGTGAAGATCTCAAGCAACTGGGGGAACCCAGGCTTTACTTGCCTGTACCGCGTGCGAGTGCATGGCTCTGTGGCCCCGCCCGGGGCGCAGCCTCACCAGAACCGCTACCCTGAGAGAGATTAAAATTTATTCTTTACTCCCAGACCAAGTCTGAGTATCTTTTGGCCCCAAAGAGAGAGGGTGGGCTAGCCTTTGACATCTGAGCATTTGATGCTTAGCAATGGTTGATCCTGTGCTGGGTGCCCAGGCATCTTCTCAACAGCCCCAGGAGACCCATTCACGGATGCGGACAGTGAAGGCTCCAAGCAGCAAACTGACTTGCTGCAGGTGACAGCCAACAAATGGCAGCTCGGGAGCTCAAACACAAGCAGTCTGACTCCTGTGCATGAGAAGCCTTTCCTGCTTCAAGTTAAGCTCTGCCCCCAAACCGTGTGTGACATCGGTCAAGACTCTACCCTCTAGGAACCTCGGTCTCCCCAGCCATAAAATGGGGACAGGATTATGACTATTGTGTCAGACAAAGTGATCAGTGAGAGGTCCCAACCCTACCTACTGTGGAGTGTTTCAACATCATACTGACAATTTACTGTGTGACATTGGGCAAGTCAGACACCCTCTCTGGACTTCAGTTTTTCCAGGTATGTAAGTATTGTTTCCCCAACTTCAGTCACTCATATTTTGTCTGTGTAATCTTTGCCATAGTGGAGTCCCTCCTGCTCTAGCACTGTCTTGAGAGCTTACAGAGGTGCTGAAAACAGTGTGTATTCCTGCAACCTACAGCAGCTGTGCACGCAGCATGACACACAAGAGGTACTGGGTAAATGATCCTCAATGTTACTGTCAACCTCTGTCCCCAGGCAAGTGATAGGAGGCCTAGTCCTCCGGGAGGGGAGAGCTCCAGAACAGGGCAGGCTGGCCCAGCCAGAATGGCGGCAGGAACCGGAGCTTGCGAGGGAGGGAATTCCTAGCAGGCAGGAGCAGGGAGGTGGAGATGCTCCCTAATGCACAGGACCAGCTGGGCATTAGAAGGGCAGAGAGATCGGAAATATGCCTGTCTCCAGGGAGGGCACCCTGCACCAGCCCACCCTGCTGCTGAATCTCCACGCCAGCACTCGGGCTTCCTCCAGCACCTGGCCCAGGCCCATCTCTGACGGGCTTCACAGTGGAATAGGCTTCAAGGGGTCACCTCACATCCCTGTTGCTCTCTTGCCTCCCAGCAATCAGAGGACCTGGAAGCCACACGTCCAGCCTGGCATCTTTAGGGTAGTTTTTATGTGAACCATTCTTGTTGTTATTAAAAAGCAAAATCAAACCAAGGTTTGGTAAAAAGCAAATCCATTGAAACCCCACTTCCCCACTCCCATGTGCCCCTCCCAGGCTCATTCCTCCAGCTGGTCTGCGTTTTTTCCCAGTCATTTAAGTGTCTTTTGTTCAACATATTTTCTCGAAAATATTATCAACTCAAGGCTTTTCTTTATGGCATCTAAGACGTGTGCATTGTAGGGAAGAATATCCCCAGCTCCAAGTTTATAGACATATACTTCTGTATTTTCTTCTATTAATTTTTTTCTTTCTTTTTTTTTGGGCGGGGGAGACAGTGACTCACTCTGGCACCCAGGCTGGAGTACAGTGGTGTGATCTTGGCTCACTGCAACCTCCGCCTCCCAGGTTCAAGCAATTCTTCTGCCTCAGCCTCTTGAGTAACTGGGACTATAGGCACCTGCCACCACACCCAGCTAATTTTTGTATTTTTTGGTAGAGACAGGGTTTCCCAATGTTGGCTAGGCTGGCCTTTCATGAATTTATTACATGCACATTTTATACATACGTACACTCCTTAGTGCATAAACCCATACAAAATATAAATGTATAAAAGCCTTAATGCACCTGGAATTTATTTTTGTGTATGGTGTGAGGTAGGGACATAATTTAATTTTTGTATATTACTACCCAAAGACCACAATACGGGATTATCACTGAATGGCTGTCTTTTCCCAGAGCTTGGAAACGCTCTCCATGCAGTGCCTGGCCTCTTTCATTGTTTCATCTAGCCCTGTGTCATCCTGCATCAACACCATGCTCTGTGACACCGGCTTGGGAATACATTTGGTACGTGTTCATGCCAGCACCCCCTCTTTCCTCCTGTTTCAAAACCTTCTTGGCCATTCTCATCCACTTTGTTTTCCAGGCAGACTTGAGAATCAGCTTGTCAACTTGCATTTTGTAAATGCTGCTGGATTGGCACTGGTTTTATGCATGAAGAACAAATCTCTTGGCCATATCAGCTCTTCTCAAAACATAAACTCTTCTCCCATTTCTTGTGGTTTTCCTTCAACATCCTTCAGTCAAGAGTCCTCACTTTTTTCATACGAATGCTGCACTTTTCTTGCCAGATTTAATCCTGGATACTTTACCAGTTTTAAGGCTAAGATGAATGCGACCCTTACCCTCAGTGACATTCTCTGTGGTCAGAGCTGCAGTGGAGGAAGCTTCTGCTGTCTGACACTCAAGTGGCACTCATTCCCAACTCCATGCCACCCTCCTGAGGGTTCATATAGTTCTCCCAAGTGGACACCTGGTCCACAAACACTATGTAATCCACGGTGTGCTGGCACCTGTCACTGAATCTCTCTACTGTGGGGACTGAACATTCCCCCAAACACTAGGAAACCAAGGCACAGAAAGATGCGACAGCCCCCCAAGGTCACACAGTGAGTCACAGCGATGCTCTGACCCCCAATCCAGACCTGCCAGGCCCCAAAATGCTTTGTCTACCCCCTCCCCCAACTCTTCCCACAGCCATTCAGGTCCTAGGCTTGGCTGAACCAACTCTGTGGAGCTGTGAGTAGAGGGTTGAATGCTGGTCCTTACAGCAATGTCCCAGGGCCCACCCCACCCCGACCCAGATGGCTGAGAACGGGACTTAGCGAATGGGAGTTCGGTCATACATCCGAGGGGCCCTGCTGCATGTGGCTCAGCCCCTGCCCAGATAATCAGGTCCCCTTTATCCTCCCACCCCTTCCCCGCCCCTCACCCCACACTCCCTCTCATCCTCCAAGGTCAGCGGTCCCTGGGTGGAGCATTATGGTTCACGGTGCACTCGAATAGCCCCTCTGCGCAGACAAGAAGGCTGAGGCCCTGCGAGGGACCCGGCCTCACCCAAGTCCTACAACAGGACCCTAATTCAGCCCAGCAGGGGCAGGGGAGGAAACTTTGTGGGACAGCAGGAGAACAAAGGTCTCCCTCCCATCCACCCCCAGTCCAGGTTCACAATGCACAAGGCTGGCCGCCTGCCCGCCACTCAGCCCACTCACTGGACTACCGCAGAGGAGTCAGCCGCCAGCCAGGGTGGGAACCAACTCTCCAAGGCAACCAAGACAAGGACCGGAGGTGCAGAGCGCCAGCTACCTGCAGGGCCCCCAGAGTGGCGCCTCCGTCAAGCCCAGTTCAAGGCCCGGGGCTTTAGCTAATCCACTAATCCCTGGAGGCCAGAACAGGCCTGGCTGGGGCAGGCTGCTTCTCTGAGACTTGGAGACCCCTAGACAGACGGCGACAAGGGCCCGTGAGGAGACTCAGAGACCCCTGGACAGACAGTGGGAAAGGCCTAGTGATGAGACCCAGAGACCCCCAGATGGACAGTGACAAGGGCCTGGTGATGGGACTCAGAGACCCCTGGACAGACAGTGGTAAGGGCCCAGTGATGCGACAGAACCTAGGCCCTTCCCTGGCCTATGCCCCTACACCAAGTGCTCAAGGGAGTCAGGCTTGGGGCCTTACTTTCCTCCTCTGCTCCAGGAGATGCCCATCCTCACCTTCTCCCTGCCAGAGGCGGCCTGAGGCCCCAAGGACGTGGGTGTGAAGGGCTGTTACTGGCTGTGTGGTGAGTGTGAACCGCTTCACACTCAACAGAGGGAAGGGTCACCGTCTCTATTTCTCCAAATCAAATCCCGCTCCACGTCTCCAAGCACCCAGGCCACAGGCAAATCTCAGCATTATTTTTCGGGTCTCTGTCCCCTCCCAGGGATCTGGGAGTGACTCAGCCCCGGAGAGAAGAGGCCGAGGCTACTGCTCACCTGTCAGCCATGGTCACAGCAGGAGAGCCTAGTCCCAAGGATCCCCCCATCCAGCACTCATCTTCACCATGGGACTCCGGCATTGCCTGGAAGGCTGGGCCAGACTCTGAGGCCCCCAGACCCCTACTTGCCTCTTGGGTCTAGGTGCTCTGTTTAATTCTCCAGTGCTTGCCCTGGGTGGTTACCTAGGGCTCAGGCTCCAGGAAGGGTCTGACCGAGGAAAGTGGACTGCGGCAAGCTTCCTGTTCAGGGGTCCAGGGAGCTTCTGCCCCCCACAGCCCTGAGTCCTTTGAGCTGCTTGGGCTGGGTCTGGGGTGGGAGGGGGAGAGGAGTGGCCCCATTTACCCGACAAGGCTCTGAATGGCAGAGCTCCCCAGTGACCCCTCCTTCTTACCCTGCCAACTTTCTGCCATCACTGCCACCAACCATGTGGCCAAGCGAGGCCATTATCCTGTGAAGGCATCTCTGGGACAGGAAGTTCCCAAATGACGCTTTTGAGTTAGCACAGCTACACCAGGGGCCATCCCAGGTGGCTCTGAGACCCTGGGTTTTGCAAGGAGGATGAGCAATGAAAATGACAAGTAACAAGGACCCTTCCCGGAGTACTTGCCCTGCCAGGTCAAAGCTAGGCCGTTCAAGGCTGTGCTGTCTGGGTCTGGAGTTACTGCTGATGGGGGGTGGGGCATCCAGGAAAGGAAGGACTGGTAGCCATGGGCATCTGTGGCTGTGATTACCAAGGGGGAAGAGGCAGGAGGCCTTGGAGCCCCTGCAGGCTGGCACGGTCTGTGAGAAGCCGAGGGAACACAGCTGCTAGACTTGGCATACTCCCAACCCCCAGGTTGCCCTGCTGGGCAGAGCTGGGCTGGAGCAGAGGGCAAAAGGGAGTGCCACCAAGGAAGGACTTTCTAACAGTTCAACTGCAGAGGGAGTGAGGCCCCTGTCCCAGGAGGTGTGCAATTCCAGGTGGTGTGAGGTTGCTGGAGAGCCCAGGATTCTGTGGATTTTCTAACCTGGTCTTGGAGGTGGCCACTTCTTCCTCCTTACTGAGGAGTCTTCAGCCCTGGACTGTTT